TTTATGGCTGTTTCTAGACATCTTCAACTGAAACAAATCCTAATTTAGTCTCAGATCTGCAGGTTTCTCAGAGGTTGGGATTTTTTTTTCTATAGAGAGGAGGAAACATTTAATTATTTTTAAGCCATTGTTTTATTTTTAAAGATTTATGTATTTGAAAGAGTGACGCAGAGAGATCTATCCACTGGTTTCTTTCCCAAATTACCCACAAGGGCCAGGGCTGGGCCAGGCCGAATCCAGGAGTCAGGATCTCCATCTGGGTTTCCCACATAGGTGGCAGAGACCCAAGCACCGGGCCATCACCGCTGCCCCCCAAGATGCTTTGGTGGGAAGCTGGATAGGAAACAGAGCAGCCAGGCCTGAAAACTGGGCAAGGAGGCATCCACATGACCATTTAACCTGGTGCACCAGGATTCTCCCTTAAACCCGTTCAATCCTGGCAAACACCCTGGTGGCCGCGCCCCAGGAGAGCCACAGTGCGGAAAGTGAAGTTTGTGTAATTGGGTGAGAAGCAGTCTGCTACCTCCCGAATCCAGAGAGGAGAGGGCGGTGCCCTGAGCCTCCCCCTGGTCCTCCCTTGGCCGTACTGCAGACACCTGCCTTTTCTTCCTGTGCTCTGCTGAACAGGAGGTGCCTACTGGGCCTGTGGCCAACTGGAGCATCTGCTCTGTTGGATGGATAAAGCTTGCTTGAGCTCCAGACACTGGCCTTGGGGAGGGGAGGCTGCTGCAGGGGTCAGGTGGCTGGCCCTTCCATGCTCAGCATGCCCATGGGTTGTGGTTATGGCTGCAGGGCGACAGGAGCCCCTGCAACTCCAGCGGCCCCTGAATACCTGGCCGGAGGGCAGGATGCAGCCGCCCCATCCTCGCTCCCCTCACTGTCCTCACTGCCTGCTTTGAAAGCCCTCCTGCTAGCCTGCAGTGTGGGAAGAGCAGATTTGGGCCAAAAGAAGTCTGCTGACCCCAAGGACGTGGCTTCTTCAATAAACCTATTTCCTTATGTCAACCCTTGGCTTGAGTATTGGTTTCTGAGCAGTGGGAAGCCCAGGCCAAATTTTGAGCGGTTAACAGCCCCACTGCTAACTCCCACAGCCCATCTCTCCACATGCGCCTGTTCCAGTGTGACACATACACAAGGGCTCAGACTGTACGTAGCTGCTTCTGATGGGCCTGTTTCACTTAGCAGGGCACAGTCAGCATGAAAAGTCTTTTCATAGCTTGATAACACATTCCTTATGACTGAGTCCATTGCATGGCTGAACCACATGGTTTACCCATTCACCCAATTCCCAGAGCCACCTTGGGTGCTTCTCGTGTTGAGTAGTTACGACCTTGCTGCCATGAATGTTTCATTTAGACGTTTATGTGGATCTGAGTTTTTGGCTCACTTGAGCAGACACCTAAGAGTGTGGCTGCCAAGTTGTGCGCTAAGACCGTGTAGTTTTGTTCCCAGGAAGCAGTCCTGTTTCCCGTCAATGAATAAGTGTTTTCTCTTCCACATTTCTTCCAGCATTTGTCAGTGTTTTGTGTTTTAGTGTATGGTGGTATCTTACTGTTGCTTTAATTTGCACTTCCAGGACCAGTGTGTGGATCAGTGGATTAAACAGCTGCTTGCAATATGGGAGTACCAATTCAAATCCCAGGTGCTCTGCTTCTGACCCAACTTCTGCTGATGCACCTGGGAAACAGCAGAGGATGGCCCAAGGACTTGGGCCCCCACCACCCACATGGGAAACCTGGATGGAGCTCCTGGCATCGGCCTGGCCCAGCCACAGCCATCTGGGGAGTGAACCACTCTTTCAGATAAATCTTTTTCTAAAAAGTTAGGAAGTGGGCATTTTAGGTTTAAGTTTATGTTAGGCTTACGTTCATGAATTCTCCCTGTGATTCTGAGGATACTTTGCTGTTGAAGTAGTCTATAACTATCGAATCCAGTTGACTGATGCTGTTGAGGTGAACTGTACTGTCACTAACTTTGCCTGCTGTCAGTTACTGAGACATGTTGGTGTCCACTATAATTGTTGGCTTGTCTGTTGTTTTTAAGATTTATTTGAAAGGCAAGAGTGGTGGGGGTGGGGGTGAGGGGGAGATGAAGAAAGAGAAATCTTCCATTCACTGGTTCACTCCTCAAATGGCCGCAACAGCTGGGACAAGACCAGGCTGAAGCCAGGAGCCTGGAACTCCATCTGGATCTCCCACATGGGTGGCAGGGACCCACACACCATCTTCTGCTACTTTCCCAGGTGCATTAGCAGGGTGCAGAATGGGAAGTAGAGCAGCCGGGACTCATGGGATGCTTGCTTTGCAGGCAGTGGCTCAACCTGCTAAGCCATAATGCTGGCTCTAAGACTCAACACTTTGATATTTTATGTTTATATAACTATATATAAATATAAAAACATATTTAAATATATTTATACTAAAATAGTATAAATTATTAGTTATAACTAATTTAGTTTTTATACTAAAGTTATGTATACTAAAAATTATATAGCTAAAAGTATATATATGTGTGTGTATATATATAGATTGATCCTGTACTCACATAGTTACTACCTTTGATTTTTTTTTAAGATTTATTTGAAAGGCAGATCTACAGAGAGAGAGAAAGGTCTTCCATCTGCTGGTTTACTCCCCAAATGGCTTCAATGGCCAGAGATGAGCTGATCTGAAGCCAGGAACAACTTCTGGGTCTCCCATGTGGGTGCAGAGGCCCAAGCACTTGGGCCATCCTCCACTGCTTTCCCAGGCCACACCAGAGCGCTGGATTGGAAGTGGAGCAGCCAGGACTCAAACCAGCACCTACAAACCAGCAGATGGAAGGCCTCTCTCTGTAACTCTTTCAAATAAATAAATCTTTTTTAAAAACTCACAAAAGTTTGACAACTCCATTTTTCTGCGTTTCTGTGGAGGGCCTGGTGATTGGAGCTGCTTACTCTGTTGTTCTAAATGCATTTCCTTGTGCCATTACTCTTGATTACTATTGCTTTGAATCATATTTTTAAATTGTAGAAGTGTGACTTGCCCTTCTTTGCTCTTTTTCAAGATTGTTCTGGTATTTGGAGTCCCTCGAAATTCTATATGAATTTCAGTGTCAGCTTTTCTGTTTCTACAAGGCAATCGCCCAGGATTCTGATAGGGACTGTCTGCAATCTGTAGGTTGGTTTAGGAAGAATACTGCACTTTGTTTGTTTAATGATTTATTTATATATTTAGTTAAGGTGTTTTGGAGCCGGGGAAGGAGAAACCTCCCATCTCCTCATTCACTCCCCAAATACCTACAACAGCAAATGCTGGGCCAGGCTGAAGCCAGGCACTAGGCACTCCACCAAGGTCTTCCATGTGGCTGCAGGACCCAAGTGTCACACTGTCCACTGCTTTCCCAGGCGCATTAGCAGGAAGCTGAATCAGTAGCTGAGCACGTTGGATTTGAAACAACACTCCAATATGGGACACCCATGTCGCAAAGCAGTGGCTTACCCCAGGACTACTGCTTTTTTTTTTTTTTAAGATTCATTTATTTAAAAGGTAGAGTTGGGGGGAGGGGGGAGAGACAGAGAAGTTTTCCATTCACTGGTTCGCTTCCCAAATGGCTTCAATGGCTGGGGCTGGGCCAGGTTGAAGCCAGGAGCCTCTTCTGGGTCTCCCACATGGGTGCAGGGGCCACAGTACTTGGGCCATCTTCTGCTTCTCTCCCAGGTGCACTAACAGGGAGCTGGATCAGAAGTGGAGCAGCCGGGATTTGAACTGGTACCTGTATGGGATGCTGCTGCTGCGGGTTTTACCCACTATGTCAATAATGTGCATACATTCTCAGAGTAACAAGGTTTCTCTTATTATTCCTATGTGTTTAGTCTTTGAGTGCTTACTGTAAATGGATGCTCTCTTCCATGCATTTCCACATACTTAATTGCAAGTGTACAGATGTGTAATTGGTTTTTATGTATTAGTTTTGTACTTCTCACCCCGATAAACATGTTATCATTTTGGTTGCTTCCACAATTTGAAAATTGAAAATTACAACAGTGTTCCTATAGATGTCCTTGTACAGGTTTTCGTGTGCACCTGCATTTTGAGCTCATTTGTGGAAACCCTGCCTTTGGGGACAAGATAGTGCTTTGCCACTTGTGATAATGTTGAGGCCAATTCAGCCCATGAAAATCCAGTGGAGGTGGGCTTTCAATGAGGTTTATGTAAAGCCTGTTTGTGTAGTGTGAACCCAGTGGTTTTTCAAGTACTTGCCTCCTGCATACCAGACCTAGTGCTGCTGGGAATAAAACCCAGCAGCTGTCCCTGTCCATTGGAAGCTGCCATTACAGGAGACAGAAAACACATATGAAATACATAAGGTATCAAATGACAAGGACAGCCGGAAGGAGAGGGAGATGGTGAAGGGTACAGAGGCTGTGAGTGTATCTCTGGAAATCTGTTATCTTCAGGCCGTTGCCTCTGAAGTTGAGTTGGTGAGTCTGTGTAGGCACACCCAGCTGTATGCAGTGACGGAACCCATGTGACTTTATGGCTGTCTGGCCTAATCTGACTCGGTAGCACTTCTTTTCCTAAATGGGATAGAAGTGCTGATCTGACTTGGTAGCACCTCTTTTCCTAAATGGGATGGAAGTGGTGAGAGCAGGCGTCCTTGTAATTTCTGACCTTGGGGAAGACAGAATGAGGTCTCCCAGGCACTAGGTGTTCCTAGATGCCTTATAGCAGCTCATTTATCAGGTGTCTTCATTGTGCAGGGTGTTTGACCCTGTCGGATGTTCTTGCTATTAGCATCTTGCCAAATATATGATTTGCACTAATTTTGTATAATTTGTCTGTGGGCTACCTTTTTATTATGTTGATAGCAGGCACTGAGGGATATAAGGTTTTCATTTTAATGAGGTAAGACCTGAATATCTCCTTTTATTGATTGAGTTTCTGCATCGCCAAATCCAGTGCTAATAAACTTTTGCACTATATTTTCCTTTAAAAAAATAATTATGCCAGTTCAGTATAATCTTTTAAGATGTTATAAATTTAAAATGCAGAGTGACAGAGATATGGCCACAACAGCGAGGGCTGGGCCAGGCTGAAGCCAGGAGCCAAGAGATCCATCTGGGTTTCCCTCAGGGATGGCAGGGCCACAAGTACTTGGGCCATCACCTGCTGCCTTCCCATGCACATTAGCAAGGAGCTGGACTGGAAGTGGAGCAGCTAGGACTTGAACCTGTGCCTATAAAGGATGCTGGCATTGCAGTCAGCAGCTTAACCCACTGTCACACCAACCCCTGCCCTGTGTTTTCCTGTAAGAGTTGTTTACGCTTAGCTTTAGCTTTACTTTTAGGTCTTTGATAAATTTGGATTTCATAGTTCTGTAAAAAAAATTTATTAATGTGACAGGCACAGTGACAGAGAAAGGGACATCTTCCACCAACTGGTTCACTCCCCCAAGTGGCTGCAACAGTCAGGGCTGGGCCAGGAATGCCATCTAGGTCTCTCACATGGGTGGCAAGGACTCAAGTATTTGGCCGTTTTCCACTGCCTTCCCAGGCCCATCAGCAGGAGTGGGATTGGAAGCAGAGTAGCTAACCTGCAGTACCATAAGACCAGCCCCTGAGTTCACGCTCTTAATAAATTATTATTTTCATTTTATTTGAAAGGCACAGAGACACAGAGGTTTATTCCTCTAATGGCCTCAATGCCTATGCTGGTCGAACCCAAAATCAGGAACACAGAATTCAGTCTGGGTCTCCCATCACTGCTGCTGCCCAGTGTGGTCAGGGGCAGTGACTTGAACTCTGCAATTCCCAAGCACTGTCTGAATCACTGTGCCAAGTGCTGGTTTTATTTTTATACATAATGTAAGCCAGGTAAGGATCCAGCTCTAGACTTCAGCATGTGAGTACTCCATTTTCTCAGCACTTTTCCCACTGAATGGTCCTGGCACCTCGCTCAAAATCTTATCACATGTGTGAAGGGGTGTCTCTGGGCTCTCTCCTCTTTTCCATTGGTTATGCCAGTTGCAGAGCTTTGATTACTGTAACTCTGAGTAAGTTTTGAAATCAAGAAGAGACTTTCAACTTTGTTCCTTTCCAGGGCGGCTTGAGATTCCATGTGAATTTCCCAATGGGCATTCCAATTTCTGTTGAAAAAGTGAAAAAGAGACAGATGGAGATTGTTGGGATTTTGGCAGAGATTATGTTGAATTTGTAGACCATTTTGGGCAATACTTACATCATGAGCAAGATGTATTCCCATTTTACTTGTATTTTAATTTGTTTCAGCACATCTTATAAAATTCTTTTACCTTAATACCAAAGTAGTTTATTATTTTCCAAGCTATTGCTGTATTTTCACATTACAAATGAAAGTGACTTTTGCATGTTGAATTTATCCTGCAACTTTGCTGAATTCTTTATTAGTTCAGTTTTTGTTTTTGCCTCTTTTTGATTTTCTGTTTATGTGAGGTCATCTCACCTGCGAACAGAAATGCGTGCATCCAAATTGGAAAGGAAGAAACAAAATTATTTCTTGTCCTTTGCTAATTGCTCTAGCCAGGATTTCCTCTCTTTTTTTTTTAAATTTATTTGTCAGAGTTAGACAGTGAGAGAGAGAGAGACAGAGAGAAAGGTCTTCCTTTTTCCATTGGTTCACCCAAGTGGCCGCTACGGCTGGTGCATTGTGGCCAGTGCACTGCACTGATCCGAAGGCAGGAGCCAGGTGCTTCCTCCTGGTCTCCAATGTGGGTGCAGGGCCCAAGGACCTGGGCCATCCTCCACTGCCTTCCCAGGCCACAGCAGAGAGCGGGACTGGAAGAGGAGCCACTGGGACTAGAACCGGCGCCCATATGGGATGCCAGCGCTGCAGGCAGAGGATTAACCAAGTGAGCAACGACACTGGTCCCTCTAGCCAGGATTTTTAATACTGTCTTGAATGGAAATGGTAAACGAGGTATCTTGTCTTCCTCTTGAGCTTAGTGGGAAATTGTTTCGTATTTCATCATTGATTGTAATGTTTCTGTGGGATTTTTGAATTCCTAGGTTGTTGTGGATTTTGTGTTTTGTCAAATGCTTTTTCTGCCTCAACTGATGATTGTGGTGTATTACAGATTGGCTTTCATAAGTTGAACCAGCCTTGGATTTCAGGAATCAATCTCATTTGGCCATGGTATCTGACTAGAAGGGAGAGTGAGTATCTTCCATCTATTGGTTCACTCCACAAATGGCCATAACAGCTGGGACTGGACAAGCAAAGCCAGGAGCTTTATCTAGGTCTCCCATGTGTGTGGCAGGGGTATAGGTACTTGGTCCATCTTCTGCTTTCCTGGGTGCATTAGCAGGAGCTACATTGGAAGCAGGAATCTGCGCTCTTATGGGATGTGGTATTGTAGGCAGCAGCTTACCCTGGTGAGCCACATGCTGGCCTCCACTTCCGCATTTTTACAGCACTAAGCTTGAACAACCATGTAATGTGCCAGTCTGAGTTTAACTTTAGTTTTGGGGGCAAGCATTTGGTACAGCAATGAAGATGTTGCCTGGGGCACCTGGAGTCCCAGCTCTGCTCCTGGTTGTAACTTCTTGCGGCAGCACATCCGGGGAAGCAGTGGTGGTGGCTGAAGTAGCTGGGTCCCTGCCACACACATGGGAGACCTGGATTGAGTTGCCAAGCTCCTGGCTTCAGCCTGGCCCATATTGCAGGCATTTAGAGAGGAAATCAACAGAGAGAAGATCTTACTCTAAATATGAGAAGCTGAATCGTGTTTTCTGATGCCAGCTCAGTTCCCTTTTGCCTCCTGGATGGCCAGCATCCTGATTCTCTTGCTAGTTTTCACTACCCAGTGTTCCTTTATATTTGCCTCCTTTGAACTTTGAATAAATTAATACTAATGGGATTAAAATAGGAATGTGAGTGGCGGTCTCCTTGTCTCAGTACATCTTTCTACTATACATCCCAGTGATTATTGTGTGTAGACTTGTACATGTTTCTGTCACACTAAAATTACCTGAGGCCATCATTTGAAAGAGGTACCATTTTCCTGTTCCATTCTGCTTTGATATTACCCAATAAAAATGCTCAACTGTTTTGTTAGTGCCATTAAATAGCCATCCTTAGTCTTACAATTATTACTTGATTACACTGGACATGGGGCAAACCACCTGTGAGTTTCTAGCTGTTCTCTGTTGGTGTTGTCACACAGAATGGATTCACACTGTAACTAAAACAGGTGAAATGTTGTCTACCAGGGAAACTCAGTAGAGATTTAGTGCCCAGAGTATTTGGGGAGACTGATCCCCAAGGCACTGCTGGAAAGGAAAGAGGTGAAGCATAAGTCAGTGAAGTACCTGGAGCCTGTCACTCTTACCTCTTAGGGTGGTGGGATCCTTCCTAAAGCCTCATTTCCCCGGCACCAGCAAAGATCAGGCCTGTGAGCGGGCATTTCTAAGAGTAAGCAGCTCTGGATAACTAACATTAGCCCTCCTCTGCACATCAGGGGCTGGGACTTGTTAGACATCTGCTCTACCAAGAGAAACTCAGTTTACTGCACACTGGATCCACCAGTGACGGTGTTCCAACTCTGCTGCTACCTTTCTGAATGTTTCAGTTGTAGAGAAAGTGGGTCAGAAAAAAAAGAGACAACCAAATGATGGAGTAAAATCTTAGAGACCGCAGAATCAGGTAAAGATTTTAGGTACCTACCTGCCAATCTCACTCATCCTCCCCTGGGATGTCTTAGGACTCAGTGGCCTTGGAGGATGTGGCCGTGAACTTCACCCAGAGGAGTGGGCTTTGCTGGATCCTTCAGAGATGTGATGCAGGAAACCTTCAGGAACTGGGCTTCTGTAGGTAAGATTTCTGCACTTAGTTGGAGAATGGTATTTATCAGTGCTATTCCACAGTTTGGAAAGTGGAAAGACAATAATAGTTTGATGAATAAATGAGGCATGGTTGCAGTACACCTAGAATCTGGTAATTTTTCTAGTTCTCCATTTTAGGGGGAAAAATGGGAAGACAAGAACACTGCCTATAAAAACAAAAATCCTGGGAGAAATCAAAGGTGATTCACTCTGACAAGAGGAAGGCATGCCCCTTGAGGGAATCAACCTGCCATGAACATTTAGAAAGAAGCAAAAAAAATAATTATTCTTATAAAGTTTCTACCCAAAATTATTCTTTATTTTTTTTAATAAGGCCTTTATTCTGTTTCAGGTGTCTTAAAGGAAATTTAAAGAGAACACGAATTCCTCCGCCGTCCTGAAACACCTTAAGGCGTCGACACGGAAGAGGACATGGTGGAAACGGCTGCCAAAATTATTCTTAAAATAAGACATGCATGCTCAGTGTGAAACTGCATACATATCACTGACTTGATAGCTGTGGGGAGTCACACTGTATGGTAACCACATGTGGCAGAAAGCCTGCACTCTCTATGCATTTAATACCATGCTGGTTTTTACAGCAGCTATATACTAGAGACTGGAAGTGCCAGTGTGGAGAAATCTTCAGCCAGATGCCAAGTCCTGATCTGAAAAGAAAAAATTTGAGTGCAGTGTGTGGAGAAAGCCCTTGTTCATTCTTAATCCCTGACTAGGTAGATCATATCTCACTGTAGACATGACAGGTAAACAATGTGGGAAATCTTTCCTTTCCTTGTGACAGAAGTGACTATGAGGAATGTAGAAAAGCTTCTATTTCTCTCTCTCAAGGTACTTTGCAGTATTTTGTTGAAGCCTTTTGCAACCGTACTCAGAGATTTGTGTTCCTTAGTACAGAATATGATTTTTTTATTATACATATACACAAAAATATTTCAAAAAGTTTCTGAAAAATTGAAATAAGGTGTTCATTTTGGTGCAAAAAAATTGTGAAATCCATGTGTAGTGTTATAATATGCATTTTCCATGAACTTTTGGAAGTGCTCTCTATACATCTACAGCACTGTGTGTGGGTTCCACACCATGGGTTCAAGTAATTAGAGATTTGAAACTGTGTCTGTACTGAATACAGTTTTTTTCCCATAAACAACACAATATGTCTTCACATGACATTTACTTTGCATATTATAAGTCATACAGAGATTATTTCAAGTTTATAGAAGCACTGACTGCTTAGATTATATGCAAATACTGCACCATTTTATAGAAAGGACTTCAGCATCTGCATATTCTGGTTTCCATGTGTGTGTATGTGTGTGTGTAGGGGTAGTGTCCTGGAACCAGTCCCCTACAGATAGTAAGTGACAACAGTTGTAGACATAGATGTGAATGGTAAAACTGCTCATGAGATCTCAGAAAACTTTTGCACCAAAATATAGTTATTATTTTCCCATAAATTTTACGTTCCCTCACATACATATATATATATATATATATGAATAATGTGGTATAGTTTAATATTTACTACTTATATATAATCAAAACAAATGTAATGACTATTAGAGTCTATTACAACATTATATAAATACAGTGTTATAGACTTGTCAGACAATAGTACAGTGCGTCAGTTCCCTGCTTGCCTTGCCCAGTTTTATTCAAACACCAACCACATCTTCCCATGGAAACAGAGACATGTCATCTTCCCTTCCCTTCACACCCACTTGTTCTCTACTCCCATGTGACTCCCTGTGTGGGCCTACAACAGCTTACCCTCTTCTTGTCTGTGAGTCTAAGTACTCTTGCCTTTCCAGTGGCGGGTATTAAGAGGTCCACTGTCCGAGGGTGCTAATTCCTCACTCCAACTGGGGAATGGGAGGCTGCTGCAACAGGTGGCAACACGAAGCAGAAATGAATGGATCCATCCTAAGCTGACTGGTTCCCTGATAGACAGAGCCACCTGCGTCAGAACTGCCGGTTGCTGGGGGCTTCCACTGTGGTCTTTATCAGGTGCCGCCATCTCTTCCCATTCTCATCACCGAGACGTGAATGGTTCGGTCATCATACCCTGGTGCCTTTTGTTTGGCAGCCACTTTTCCAAAGCACTCAGCGCTCGAAGCAAAGAACAGAGAACCTTAACCAGCTGGAACTTCTGCCTGATTATCAAGTCAGCCTACATCTCTGCGGTTCTTGCACCTACTCTCTTCACTCTTGGGGAGTCCCATGCAACTCCAGCAATGGTCCGTTGTGAAGGGGCAGAAAAGAAAGGGACCCTGCCCTGGAAAGAACTAAGCAAGTCACCCAGCTTGCCTCACAGGAATCGCTGTGTAGACAGGAGCAGTGCTCTTGTTTGTGTCCTGTGCTGTACTTCCCTTGCTACTGTTGTGTGGCCACCTCTGACCTCCAAGGTGATTAGCATGGCCTGCCTGTCAGCTACAAAATGCCTGATGCTAATAACATTATAAAAGAAAAGGTTTGTTTAACTCACGATTTTAGAGGTCCAAGTCCAAGTTCAGGTGGTCCCATTGGTTTGGCCTCTCATGAGGGCAGCAGCTGGCAATGGCTTGTACAGAGGAGGATCACATGGCAAGTCTGGAAGCAGAGAGAGTGGCTGGGCCCACTCAGGCTGGTGTAACCATCAGCAGGCAAGCCCTAGTGGCCTTGGGACCTCCCACTAGGCCCTCCTCCTCAACACCATGAATGGGATTGTCTCTACCCTCCTAGTATAGGTCATTGGCTCACAACCTGAGTTTAAATGTCTGTAATTTTTGGGGGCAAGCCTCATGGTCCAGGTGCTGGTGAGTAAAGAAATGGGGAAAGAGCGTTTGCGATTGGCCCCACAAAGTGTAAGAGAATAAGTCAGTGTCACAGAGGCTGGGCTGTCTTGGCCAACCCCTCCTGGCCTCAGGGCATTGCATTCCCAACACATGCTTCAGTTGTTCATGAGCTGGAGTGAGGGGGGGCTGCCCAGAGACCTCCCCCGTAAGATGGCGGAGCAGGAGGTCTGTGGAGAGAGAGGCAGTAGAGGGATTGATGGGTGGAGGTCTGTGGAGAGAGGCAGTAGACTGATTGATGGGAGGAGGACACATCTCTGAGCAACAGGCCTGGGCTCTGCCTGGCCCCACGCTCGCCACTGCACTCAAGGGCTACTCTTGTTCCCACAGAATGACCTTACTGCCTGTGCACACTTAGCCCAGCAACCACGAGCTGATGCCTGAGAAGTTGAGGTGGTTCCCTTCCACGGGGTAGCTAAGCTTAGCTACACAGTCCACACTGCATGTGATCAGATGAAGAAGCATCTGAACCTGAGTCAGCTCTGACAGGGAGCAAAGCAGTCAGGCGGTGGGCTGAGATCCATAAGCACAGCAGGACCCTATCTGCCTCTTCCTCCACAGATGGCTGTGTCCCCAGTGCTGACCGGGGATGCAGAGCAGCCCCTCCTCACTGGTGCCTTGAAGGATAACTGTGGAATGAGCTGTGAGTACACCCCCTCTCCCCGCGGTCAGCAAGGACTGGCCGAGGCAGCCCAGCCTCTGCCACAGCCCCCAGGGAAACAAGCTGTCCTTCCACACTTTACCGGTGAGCCACCTCACCACGGGCTGTAAAATCAAGGCAGGCCGCTTTCCGGGGTCCCTCAGCAGCACTGCAACCAGGGCACATACAGCTAAGCCTGCGTCCTCCCTAGGCAGCTTCACTGTCTCAGAATCCTCTGCCACTTGCTGCCTCTAAGTACCAAATCCTGTAACTTGTGCGTCTGTCTCAGCGCCCTCAGACATGGTGCTAACCTGTACACAGTGAGCTTGCTGGACATGGGGAAAACACCCGTGGGATTCCTCTGCCTCAGTGACTGTAATTCACCACACCTAACCTGAGCATCCTGTGGGAGGCCCATAGCCATGATGGTACCTATCTTAGGCTCTCTGGAAGAACAAGTTTATAAACAGCAACAGGGGACCCAGGCTCCCCCAACCAAGAACAGACTGAAACAAGGATCTACAATTTGACCCAACTGGACGTCCACCATCCACTATTTATTATTTTAGTTTTATTATTTTATTATTAAAACAAGAGGCTCAACAAGCACTGCTTACGTTTAATGCCTCTACAAAATACGTTTTGAATTAACTTCGAGATCAGTTTACTGCATTTAGTGGAAAACCTAGGTTCTTAATAAGAGGCTCAAATAAGGCTTATGAGAGGGTAATACAAAACTCAAGCATGGTTCCCCTCTGATCTTGGGAGAATTACTGTAGTTAAAAACAGGTATAGGGACCATACCATATGGGCCAGTGTTGCCTGCAAGTCCCAGCTGCTCCACTTCCAATCCAGCTCTCTGCTTTAGCCTGAGAAAGTAGTAGAAGATGGCCCAAGTCCTTGGGCCCCTGCACCCCGATGGGAGACCCGGAAGAAGCTCTTGGCTCTTGGCTTCAGATTGGCGCAGTGCTCTCTCTCTGCCTTTCCTTCTCTCTCTGCCTCGCTTTCTCTCTCTGTTTAACTCTGTCAAATAAATAAACCCTTAACAAAACCAGCAACAACAGGTATGCCTTCCATTAGCCATAAATTCTGCCTAAATTTTATATAATCCAGGCACCTTGTGCTACAATGTCCCATAGTGGGCATAGATTCTCTGGCCCAATGAGCAATAAATGAAATGTTTTCCACTTCCAAATGTTTTTGACAAAGTGAGAACCTCTCAGCCCCAATGGTTATCAGGTGTATGTGTAATTCAGATGACTTGATTCCCCTGTTGTGGGCTGTCACAGATTATATCCTTCATGGAATTGGTCTAGTTATTAAGTCTGTGGGCATGGAATGGTTTGTAATATTCTGTTTTCTTTTTGATGACTATGGGAGCAAGTCATGGCCTCTCATTTCTGACATTTGTATCTTTTTTTCTTCATTAGCAGTCTCATTGATATTTTCAAAGAACCAGAATTTATTTCACTGATTTTCTCTGCAGATTACCTAGTTTCAAGTTTTCCTTCCTTCTCAATGTTTTAGGTTTATATTGCTCTTCTTTAGTGTCATAAAGTGGAAGGTTACATTTTATATTTTTCCTTTATTTTTTTGACAGGCAGAGTTAGACAGTGAGAGACAGAGAGAAAGGTCTTCCTTCCGCTGGTTCACTCCCTTAATGGCCGCCACGGCCGGTGCTGTACTGATCTGAAGCCAGGAGCTGGGTGCTTCCTCCCAGTCTCCCATGCAGGTGCAGGAACCCAAGCACTTGGGTCATCCTCCACTGCCTTTCTGGGCCACAGCAGAGAGCTGGACTGGAAGAGGAGCAACTGGGACTAGTACCTGGGGTGCCGGTGCCACAGGTGGAGGATTAGCCAAGTGAGCCATGGCACCAGCCTATTTTTCCTTTCTAATGTATGCATTTAATGCTATAAATCTGTTTCTAAACAATGCTTTCATTGTATCCCAGAAATTTCAGTAAGATTCATTTTTCAGTTTTTAAAACTGTTAAATTTGAGAAGACCAATTTTATGTTTGTCCTGCAACATGACAATATGAGTTTAGTTTAGTTGTGAATTCTTTCTAAACTGGTTTTGCAGGAACTTCAAAACTTCATGGGGAAAGGAATTAAAAGACAGGCTTATTTTGGTACCAAAAATATTTGAAATTCATGCATTTTTTTCATAACACATTTCTTATGATCTCTTGTAGAAGACCTTTTGTATGCATCGATTTCAGGTGTTTTTGGCATCAAAATAAACTTTAATAAATATCTTCCTAAATAAAAACTGAGTTCAGCCCTAACCCACATTTCAAAGAGTGCAAAATTCTGAAAACAAACAGATGGCAAAAGCAGCATGAAAGCTATTTTGTTCTGGCAATTTGGGGAGTGAACCAGCAGATGGAGGATTCTCTCTTTAACTTTGCCTTTCAAATCTTTCAGAAGAATAATCAAGCAAGAGGAGAGTTTAATGTTCTCCAAGCATATTGAAAGTACTGTTTTTTTTTTTAATAATTATTTTAAAGTATAAAAGGGGTCTTTAAAAAGTTCATAGAAATGCATATTCTCTCCAGTGGCATGGCTCAATAGGCTAATCCTCCGCCTGCGGCGCCAGCACCCCAGGTTCTAGTTCTGGTTGGGGCACCGGATTCTGTCCCAGTTGCTCCTCTTCCAGTCCAGCTCTCTGCTGTGGCCCAGGAAGGCAGTGGAGGATGGCCCAAGTCCTTGGGCCCTGCACCCACATGGGAGACCAGGAGAAACACCTGGCTCCTGCCTTCTGATCAGCACGGTGATGATATGGAAATGATATGTGGATCACCAAGACAAAGGCTGAGGGGACAGCCAGTCCTCTTACAAAAAGGTGTTAAAATGTTTCAGCATGAGGCCTCCTCTCCCTCTGAAGTTAGAACACGCAAAACGACACTACAGCTCAACACTACACTTTGATTGTTCTTTGGACATTTGCCCTCTAAATTATCCATAACTGTTTCTGGTGTTCCCTCTGGGAAATCAGAGAGAACTTGCATAGATACTACTTCCTCAGAGGAAAAAAACCCCAAACAGGCTAGCACTGTGGAGACAGATATAACACTTTCTCAAACTGGGAGGAACTCTATGGTTTAAAGGAGTTCGCTCAGTCCATATAAAAAATTGATACAAGGCAAAACTTAACAGAATTTTAAATCTTTTCAAGTGATATTAAGCAAAACACCAGCACCACAACCACGTGTAGCCTGCCAACCAGAGAAGCTTCATCTCCAGATACTCATCTCTTAACTCATGATCACAAATTACACGCTCTTAAACTTCACCATGGCAAAAAAGATGAACCACACCTATTCCTTTATCTTTATGAGGAATTGTTATTGTTAATCCCAGAAATGAGACTTTTAAGTACTGTTCCAAAAACTACACACACACCCAAGCAGTTCCTGAATAGTGTCTAAGATGTTAATGTTGAAAATATAAATGACATCCTCACTGAGGCTTCACAGACAAATCCCTAGCTTCTCAACTATTTCACATCCTCCACTCCATTCCTCTGCCTTCTAAAGAACTATTATGATGACCAGTGATAGAATTATGCTGACCGCCTCACAACATTCAGTACAGCTGAAGGCTGGATTGTATTTTGAACAGTAATAGAAACACTTTATCACAGGCCAGGGTTAAAGGCTGCTTATGACACTAGCATCCCATATCACAGTGCCAGTAAAGTCCCAGCTGCTCCACTTGTAATCCAGCCCTATTAACACAACTAGGAAAGCAGTGGAGGATAGCCCAAGTGCTTCAGCCCCTGCCATCACTTGGGAGACCAGAATGCAGTCCTTGGCACTTGGCTTCAGCTGACCCAGCTCTGGTTGCTGCTGCCATTTGGAGAGTGAACTAGTATGAAAGATCTGTCTTCCTGTCACTCTGCTTTTCAAATAAATAAATCTTCAAAACAAAAAAGTGGACCAGCATTGTGGCACAGCAGGCTAAGCCACAACATATGACACCAGCATCCCATTTGACTGCCAGTTTGAGTCCCAACTACATTTCTGATCCAGCTCCCTGCTAATGCACCTGGGAAAGCAGAAGATGATCCAGGTACTTGAAACCCTGTAACCCACATGGGAGACCTGGAGGAAGCTCCTGGCATTGGCCTGGCCCAGCCCCAGCCATTATGGCCATTGGGGAATGAGCCAGTAGATGGAAGATCTGTCTGTGTCTGTCTCTCCCTAACTCTACTTTTAAAATAAAATAAATGAATCTTCTGGAGGAAAAAAACATACCTATCATAAGAATCCTGTAAGTTCTTTTTAAAGAACTCTTACTAAGAATCCTATTTATATTTTGTGCTCTTATTAGAATTCATTAGATCCCCTCACCTTGTTTTTATTTCAAAGGCAGAGAATGAGACTTTCCATCCCCTGGTTCATTCCCCAAATGTGTTGCAACAGCCAGGGTTGGGCCAGGCTAAAGCCAGGAACTCCATCTGTATCTCCCACGTGGTGGCAGGGACCCAAGAACTTGAGCTATCATCTGCCTCCCAGGTACACTAGCAGAGGCGAGACTCGGTCCCAGACATTCTAAAATGGGATACTCAGGCACCCCAAATGTCAGTTTAACCTGCTGCACCACAACGCCCACCCCCCAGCTCTCCTTCTTTCAGGATGGACAACATCCTGGTGGACTTTGGGAAAGGGACACTGACAAAACCAAAACTTAGTTTCTGGCATTACAAATGAGTGAGAAAGTTTCATGACCAACTCCAACCATGTAAGAAATAAAATTCGCCTGACAAAAAGCTTACCCGAGTTTAAATGCCCATAATATTGACTCAGAGTGTATAATGAACTTGACAGAATTATGAAGTTGGTTTAGAAAGCTTGTACTTGCAATGGATTATCTTAATATTTTCAGAAAATAAGTGGTATTTGTTAATGTAAAAGTAACTTAACATTCTAATATTTCTAAGAAATACCTAAGGCAACTTTTATATGAAAAAATTACTTTTAAAAACATACCAAGGGGTTATGTTTAGGTATAAGTAACTGGAAACCACCACAATCTAAGGAAGGGGCTTACTGTCATGAGAGAGGCCAGATCAGAAGAGTCACTACGCAGTGTAGCAGAACAAGGTCCCAGAGTACCTGTGACGGCACCATCTTAGTGATCATGGTGGAAACAGGACAGTAGCAGTGTTAGCAGAACAAAGTGTTTGCTATAAAGATTAGACCTTAGACAAGTATAACCTAGAAGAAAGGGATAAGAGCATGAGAGACTACTTCCAATCATGAAGGTTTGGGTTGCCAGAATGACACACAAGATGTGGAAAATTGTGGTGGGTCTTTAATATGGCACTGCTTGAGACACCTGTGGGAATCTAAACCCCTGAAAAATCAGAGGTCACCAGTTACGGTGCTTTGAGGAAGTCTTTGACTGGCAGGACAGTCAAGAAAATGAACTGGAAGCCCCCAGGCATCTGTCTTCCTCAATGGTGACTGAACACCTTCTTCACTTGTGCCTTCCAAATCTCCAACAAGTTAAGCTGCTGATGAATCTAATACAAAACCACAAGAAGTGACTTGGGAACATACAGTTCCTGTCATTATCCACACTGACCTGACAGTCCAAGGGAGCCATCTCCACTGCAGTTACACTTGACATTGTCTTATCACTGGTCTGACTTCTTGTTGCAGTCTGTTATCCAGTCTCCAGTTAGAAGGAACAAAGTAAAAGATGAAAATAATGAGAATAAAAGTAACGTGAAACTACCTGATGGACGGATGACAAATTTTTATTAGCAAAGAAAATAGAATAAGGCTCTTGGGGGGTTAAAAACATTTTTCTCCTAGGGAAGGTAGAATACATCATGTGATGGGTAAGGGAGATAAAGTACCTGCCACACCAGAACAGTAGGATACCTCAATACCAAAGTGACACTTCAGTGACCTTTTACAGAACAGTTATACATTACATAAAAATTAAACACACATGCATATTAGAAGTGCACTTCAATTCACCCCTGGATGGAACAGACTCCAAAATGGAAAGAGAAAAATTAACTGCTTTAACTCAAAATGCTCAGGTACGCTACCATTCCTATGTACTCTGGCTTCAGGAACATCTACAGAATTCCCACCTCAGTGTTCACTTACCCATTTTCAGAATGCAATACTGATAAAGCTAATACTTCTGTTATTTTGTCCACATTGATTTTCTGCAGCATTGTACATAATTATGTCAGGTCTTCCCACATTACTTTCAGTTACTAGATTTTTCAGTGGAAACTTCCCTATGATATTGAAAGCACTGGTTAAAACTGAAAGCTTTTCAGTATTTCCCACACTTACAAGCTTTCTACCAGTGCATTCTGACTATACACTTTTGTTAAGGGTGTCAGTAAGCTGAAGACACTCATATCTTACTTACATTTGAGAGGTTTTGTGCCACGATGTTCTTTCACTGCTTCAGAAATGACTCCCGATGACTGGAGGCTTTTCCACGTCCTTTACATTCACGGGGTTTCTCTGCAGTCTGTGTTCTCCTGTGTCCCCGAAAAGTCATGCAGCAAATGGAGGATTTCCCACACTGTTTATGTTCATAGGGTTTCTATTCTGTGAGTGTTTTTATGAATTTGAAATGATCTGGGAGAGTTAAATGTTTTTCCACACTCCACACATGTATGAGGCCCACCTCCAACGTGCAGTACCACATGTTTTCTAAAACCTGCAAGAGAAATGAAGGCTTTCCTGCACTGTTCACATTTATATGGTTTCTCTCCAGTGTGAATGCTCATGTGTCCTTGAAAGGTAGTGTGATAAATAAAGCCTTTCCCGCACTCCTTACACTCATAGGGTCTCTCTCCAGTGTGAGTTCTCACATGTACTTGAAAGGAACCAGGCCAACTGAAGGCTTTGCCACACAGGTTACACTGGTATGGTTTCTCTCTAGTGTGAGTCCTTTCATGTATCCGAAATGAACTGGGACAACTGAAGGCTTTCCCACACACCTCGCATTTATATGGTCCGTCCCCAGTGTGTATGATCATGTGTCTTCGAAAGCTGGAGAAGTAAATGAAGGCCTTCCCGCACTCTTTACATGTATACGGTTTCTCTCCAGTGTGCGTCCTTTCGTGTATTTGCAGGCCTGTCAGAGTACTGAATGTCTTCCCACATTCTTTGCATTCATAGGGTTTTTCACCTGTGTGGGTCCTCTCATGTCTGAGAACAGACTGGCGGTAAGGGAAAGTCTTCCCACATTCCTTACATTTATAGCGTTTTTCTCTGTGATTCCGTTCATGTTTTCTAAAAGACTGGAGGTAACTAAAGGCTTTCCCACACTCCTGACATTTATATGGCTTCTCTCCATCATCCTGCCAGCCACAAGGTTTGTGTCCAGGGTGAGATCTGATGTGTTTATTAAGAGATGAATGACAAGTGAAGACTTTTCCACATATATTACATTCACATGGCTTTACTCCTAGAGGAGTTTTCTTGTGCAGATTTAAACTTGAACTCTGGATGAAATTTTCTCCACACTGACTACCATCTTTACTTTCACAGAATCTATCTACGATACAACGTCTGTAAAAAACGAGAAGCACAATATTAATGATGTGTTTAATGATGATTTTGTATTTATTAAAAGATATTAGAATCACATTTTTCTCATTTTCAGGAAAAGTATAAGTTTCTGCTCTGTCTGAATTTGTAGACAAATAGGCTGAAGATTCTTAAAGAGGACTTAACCATAGCTAATATCAAAGTCTGTGATACTCATAAAGGAAGTTTCCTAATACTGTTAACAAGTGAACTGTTTTTCAAACACTGAACATCTATGTCGTCTTTTTTTTTTTAAAGGCTATTTTTTAAGGTTATTTGAAAGGCAGAGTGGCAGAGAGGGAGAAACAGATCTTCCATCTGCTGGTTCACTCCCCAAATGGCTGCAATAGCCAGGGCTGTGCCAAACTGAAGCCAGGAGCCCCCAACTCCATCTAGACCTCCTACATGGGTGGCAGGGGACAAAGTACCTGGGCTATCCTCTGTTGCTTTCCCAAGCAGGGAGCTGGACTGGATGCAGAGCAGCCAGGACTTGAACTGCTACTCTAGTATGAGATGTTGACATCACAAACCGTGGGCTAGTCTGGGTACCATAAGCCCAGCCTCACATCTATGTCATTGATTCAGCTCCCTGTGAATGCTCCTAGGAAGGCAGAGGAAGATGGCCCAAGCACTTGGACCCCTGCACCCATGCAGGAGACGTGGATGAAGTCCCTTGCTCCTGGCTTCAGCCTGGTCCAGACTGTGGCTGTTGCGGCCATCTGAGGAGTAAACCGGTGAATGGAAATATTCTCTCTCTCCCTCTCTGTTGCTATGCTGTTCAAATAAATAAAGCTTTAAAAAAAACCATTTTGGGTGAAAATCTTTCTAATGAATTAATCTAAAGCTGGGCTTATTTCTTTTCTTTGCTTGTTTATAAAACTCCATGACATACTAAGTTTCCTTCATGGTACACTGCATTCTCTTGTGATGCGCTCACCTCAGATTTTTCCCTTGGTGTTTGGATTGGTCTTCAGTGTTATTATCTTCAGGGTTTTTCCCTAAAATGCATACCCAGAAAAATCGTTACAAATCATGAGAAATTACAGAAAAAAAATTAGATCCATGATGAGCTGCCATCACATCTGGTTATTTTTCAAAGCATTCTCTTTCCACATGCCAAAGCTGGGAGCACTGTCAACATGGCTCATTCCCTAAGTGAAGGAATGTTGTTGTCATTACCTACTAAGTCGAGGTTCCCAAAGGTTTCCAGCATCACATCTCTGTAGAGCGTTTTCTGCAGAGGATCCAGCAAAGCCCACTCCTCTGGGGTGAAGGACACAGCCACATCTTCCAAGGTCACTGAGTCCTAGAACATCCCACAGGTGTGCACAGGAGAATGAATGGGTGAGACGGACAGCACTGGGGATCTATATCCAGTTCACAAGATGTTCACATGACTGTGGTCCCAAAACACTGACTGGATGACTTGTCATCATGGCTTATATGTTTCATAGTATTATGAAGACATAGAAGTTATTTCCATATTTTTTCCTGTGATTTCTTATCTTACTTCTAATGACAGCATACAGAGCACCTTGAAGAAACAGCATACAAATGAAGTACTTCCCTTTCAAGGCCACCAATTTCTTTGAGAGGAAAAAACTCTTCTGTCTCTTTCCAAATTACCCATCCTATCACTCAGCAGTCTATAAAGCACAAGGTCAAATCTGGACGAGTTTTTAATGAATGAAAGCAATGAAGGACTGGAAGCGTTTCTTCCATTTACATCCCAAAAACATGCAGAATATGGAATTTATTATTTTAGAAGACTGAGCTGGCTGTATTTAAAAGACTGATCTGGTCAGATCTAGCTGGCTAAATGAAAGCATTCTTAGGGCCAGTGTTGTGGCCTGCATGTTAAGCCACTGCCAAATGCCAGCATCCCATATCAGCATGCTGCTTTGAGTCCTGGCTACTTCTGCATATGATCCAGCTTCCTGCTAATAGTGCGCCAGGGAAGGCAGTGTAAAACGGCCCAAGTATTTGGGTCCCTGCCTCCCACATGGAAGACCAACTCCCTGGCTCCTGGCTTTGGCCTGGTCCAGACCTCACTGTTGTGATCATTTGTAGAGTGAGCCAGTGGACAAAGATATCTCTCTCCCTCTGTTGCTTTGCCTTTCAAATAAATCTTTAAACAATTCTTTGGGAGGTGTATTAACTTGACTTGTGTGTCAGACTTATCAGACTCAGTGTTTATCCTTCTCTGTCAGTGCTCAGAATTGGAAGTTAGAGCTCAGGCATTAGAACTCCATAAAGTCCCTGTAGATATTAGCCTTAGAGCCATTTTGCCCACACATATGCACATGAAGGAAACACAGTAAAACAGCAATAGAGCTCTTCCTTGAAGAATCATGAGTGTATCCTGGGCCTCAGTGATCTTGAACTGACGAGGAGCTGAATTTGCCAGGGAGTTCATTCAAGTCAACAAATTTGATGGTGAATTTGCCCTTGATTATAAAATACACAAGATTCAGCAATGCTCGTCTCCAAAGGAACATAAAATCTTTCTGGGGCTGCTGTTGTAGCACAGTGAGTAAAGCCACCACCCGCATCCTGTATCAACGCTGGTTCAAGTCCCAGCTGCTCCACTTCAATCTAGCTCCTTGCTAATGGCCTGGGAAAAGCAGCAGAGATGACCCAAGTCCTTGGGCTCCTGCCATCCACGAGGGAGACCTGGATGAAGCTCTTGTCTCAGGGCTTCAGCCTGGCTCAGTCCTGGCTGTTGGAGCCACTTGGGGAGTGAACCAGTGGATGCAAGACCTCTCTGTATCTTCTTCTCTGTAACTTTCACTTTCAAATAATTCTCAAAATCCTTCCTGCAGTCTGAGGCAGTGATTCCTGACAAGCCACTCAAGAGGCTGCTGTCCCAACTTCTCATGTCCAAGCTCCCATATGGTACACAGGAGCATGAGAGCCCAATCAGAGCACAGGAATCCCTCAGTGTCATACTTCTAAACTGATCTGAAGATCATTACCCTTTGATAGCCATGGGCAAGGGACAGAGAAGAGGCTCCCCCGGGCTATCCTGATGTCTGAATTTACCCAGCTGGTAAGCAGAGCAGAAATACCTCTTGTTGATGGGTCTGGGGAATAAAGTGAGCTGCCTGAGTCACAGCTAACTCCTCTCTGTACAGTGCATCTATAGCTCTTTTCTTAGCCAAGTCTTTTTTTTTTTTTTTTTACATGCAGAGTGGACAGTGAGAGAGAGAGACAGAGAGAAAGGTCTTCCTTTGCCATTGGTTCACCCTCCAATGGCCACCGCAGCCAGCGCACCACGCTGATCTGAAGGCAGGAGCCAGGTGCTTCTCTTGGTCTCCCATGGGGTGCAGGGCCCAAGCACTTGTGCCATCCTCCACTGCACTCCCTGGCCACAGCAGAGAGCTGGCCTGGAAGAGGGGCAACCGGGACAGAATCCGGCGCCCCGACCAGGACTAGAACCCGGTGTGCCGGCGCCACTAGGCAGAGGATTAGCCTATTGAGCCACGGCGCTGGCCCTTAGCAAGTTTTAACAGACCTGTGTACAAGAGAAGAGTGAACATTCACACTCCAGACTGCTCAGCCTAAGAAATGACTGCTTACAAAGCTTGACCTTTGCTGGTACCCACAAACTAGATTTGAGGAAGAAACCCAACAGCCAACTGGTAAAGAGGGCTCAGTGTGCCTAAACAGTTGACATAAACGAGGTGGTACTTGCTTAACTCCTGGTCTCCCTAGAGAATTTGCAATTTTAATCACATGATCAGCAGAAGGAACCTCTCCATCAACCCCCAGAACACACTCAGGGCATGACCTTCCCTGATAGTTCAAGTATGTTGTTACAGCTTGTTGCCTGGGAACACTGAATCCAGCCTTTGTGATGACACCGGGAATGTTCTGGGGCATGCACTTTGTTTTCTCCTGTTTCAAATGTGCTTATGTACTAAAGGATGTTTGGTAATCCTAATAGAAAAATTTGAAATGTTTTACTGAGTAATTTCAAAACACAAAATAATGAAACAGATCACTCATGTTTTTAGAAATCAATGTGGGCTGGCGGGGGGGGGGGGGGTTGATGGCACTGTGGTGTAGTGGGTTAAAGCCTCAGCCTGCAGTGCTGGCATCCATATGGGTGCTGGTTCGAGTTCCAGCTGTTCCACTTCTGATCTGCACCTGGGAAAGCAGCAGAGGATGGCCCAAGTCCTTGAGCCCCTGCACCCACATAGGAGATCCGAAGAAGCTCCTGGCTCTGAATCAGCTCAGCTTTGGCTGTAGCGGCCATTTGGGGAGTGAACCAGTATGGAAGACTTCTTTCTCTCTCTGTAACTCTTTCAAATAAATAAAACAAATCTTCAAAAAAAGAAAAGAAATCAATGTGGGTCTGACATCTTAAGAGTAGCAGGTAAAGCTGCTGTCTGCAGTGCCAGTATCCCATATGGGTGCTGGTTCCAGTCCTGGCTGCATCACTTCTGATCCAGCTCTCTGCTAATGTGCAAAGCAGCAGATGGTGGCCCAAGTCCTTGGGCCTCTGCACCCGCATGGAAGACCCGGAAGAAGCTCTTGGCTCCTGGTTTTCGATCAGCTCAGCTCTGGCCATTGTGGCCATTTGGGGAGTGAACCAGCAGATGAAATACCTGTCTCTCTCTGCCTCTGCCTCTCTGTAACTCTGCTTTTTAAGTAAATAAACAAATTTAAAAACAGAAATCTAGGACTGGTGCTGTGGCGCAGCAGGTTAAAGCCCTGGTCTGAAGTGCCAGCATCCCACATGGGTGCCGGTTCTAGTCTTGGCTGCTCCACTTCCAATCCGGCTCTCTGCTATGGCCTGGGAGAGCAGTGGAGAATGGCCCAGGTCCTTGGGCCCCTGCACCCACATGGAAACCCAGAAGAAGCTCCTGGCTTCAGATTGGCACAGCTCCGGCTGTTGCGGCCATCTGGGGAGTGAACCAGCAGATGGAAGACCTCTCTCTCTACCTCACTCTAACTCTTTCAAATAAATAAAATAAATCTTTAAAAATGAATAAATAAAAACAAAGAAATCCATGTTATCAGGGCCAGCACCATGGTGTAGTGGGTAAATAATTTCTTCTATCAGAAACCTATGGGTCAGTGGTTAAGTCACTGTTTGGGACACCCACATCACATATCAGACTGCCTGATTCAAGTCCTGGTTCCTCTGCTTCCAACGAGGCTTCCTGCTGGTGTATACCTTGGGAGGCCGCAGATGAGGGGTCAAGCACTTGAGTCTCCCCTGCCACTCATGTAGGAAGCTCACTGAGTACTGGGCTGGCTTCAGCCTGGCACAGTCCTGGCTGTTGGGGGTGCGAACCTGTGAAAGAAGATCCTCTCTGCTTTTCAGATAAAAATTAAAAAGTTTTCTTAAAAAGAAACTTAGAGCAATCATGGGTAACTACAGGGACCGAATGAGGAGGCTGCTGCAGCCTCCATCCAGTGAGGGAGCCTGAGAGTGCTAACAGGAATTCCTGGTGCAGGGCAGAGTGAACACAGCCTGGTGCCCTCTTTTTAGGGCACCCATTCAAGGAGGATCAGCTTACAGGACAAGGCATACATGCACTTGTAAACAAGTGCTCTTTCACTTCTAGAAGATACGAGTGCCGAGAGGATCAGACACAGTGTCGGCTCAGGAATTCACAAGCACTGTTCAGGCCCACACCGTGCAGTGGCGATGGCTCATCTGCTGGTGGTGAGCTCTTCCCTTCAGTATCTGTGTGTCCTGGATGTCAAACTGACGTCACCAAGGAGGAAGTCACTAGTGGCATGTCACGCTTGTGCTCCTGGAGAAAGGAGGATGCAGCTCTGGTCTCACCTGCAAAGACTGTGCGACCACAGGTTGTTACCTGGATTTGACCAAAGGTGAACCAAATCTCCTCAACTGGGAAGCCAACTGCCGCTAAGAAGCTGATGAAACAGGCACGGAACAGAAGAGACTCAGCCACATCCCTTCCAACAATATGTACTGGCTGCATGGAGTAATTAACATAATGTATGAAAGAGATGGCTTAGTAGGTACAACCACCCTGTGAGACTGCAGCAAACCCCTGTAAGGCACCATTCATCCCTAACAGATTTGAGAACAAGCCAACCTGTGCTGTTAAAGGAGAAAGCACCAACTAGGTTTTTGAATAATACTCTTCAATCCTTCAAGGCTCTGCTCAGTTTACACTGGGACAGTAACTAATTTAGCTGGAGAGTAAGGTGTGAGAGGGCTCCCATTTTGTCAAGCCACCTTGTAAGTGCGAAATACTTGATTTAACTAAGACTCATTGGCACAGGGCTTCCTACTCACTATGAGATACTGTAGGATAACATGTACCATGACCTTGGGGAATTTACAATTCAGGCCATGAAAAGAGTTCTGTTGGTTAAGGTCAGACAAATCCAATTTGTGTTCTATTTTATATTCAGTAACTTTCCTAAGATTATCAAGAGTACCTTACTGAATTTAGCAGTAACCCAAGTGTAGCTAATTTGAGTCGCAGTATTAATCCCATGAAGGTTTGCCAGGTGAGGGCATTATCACATCATAGAGACCAAAAGCCAAGCAGTGCCCTTCATTTTGTATTTTTTTCCTTCTTCCTCGCTCCTTTTTGTTATTGTTGCTGGAAATATTCTGCTGGGGGGGGGAGACTTTCATCCTCCCTAATCAGACAATTATACAAATTTTCCTCTAGAAAGTCTCAATCCAGTGTCAAAGTTAGGAGACTTGGTGGCAATGGCTTCTTTTTAAGAGCCCTCAGCTGGGGCTTGTGCTGTAGTGCAGCAGGTTAAGCTACCACCTGAAGCACCACAACCCACATGGGCACCAATTCAAGTCCGGGCTGCTTCACTTTCAATCCAGCTCCCTGCTAATGTGCCTGGGAATGCAGCAGAAGATGGCCCAAGTTCCTGGGCCCCTGCTCCCACGTGGAAGACCTGGAAAAAGCTCCTGGCTCAGGCCTGGTCAGGCCTGGCCAGCCCTGGCCCAGCCCTGGGTCACTGTGGCCAATTGGAGAGTGAACCAGCAGATGTAAGATTTCTCTGTCTCTCCTAACTCTCTCAAATAAATATAAAATTCAATACTTCTATTAAAAAAAAAGAACCCCCAGCTATGTCAGGTTTAATCTGACTCACTTGTACTACTGGGGTGGCATGTGTGCCGCCCCCTCTAAACCTCAGAGAAATGATATTTATTGAAGCACCAACAGCAGAGGTACTTAAAGGTCCCAGGAGGCCTTTGCCTTTAGACGTGTTCTTTCAGCCCACCATCTTTTTTTTTTTTTTTTTTTTTTTTTGACAGGCAGAGTGGACAGTGAGAGAGAGACAGACAGAGAGAGAGGTCTTCCTTGGCCGTTGGTTCATCCCCCAATGGCCACCGCGGCTGGCGCACTGCGCTGATCCGATGGCAGGAACCAGGTACTTATCCTGGTCTCCCATGGGGTGCAGGGCCCAAGCACTTGGGCCATCCTCCACTGCACTCCCTGGCCACAGCAGAGAGCTGGCCTGGAAGAGGGGCAACTGGGACAGAATCCGGTGCCCCGACCGGGACTAGAACCTGGTGTGCTGGCGCCGCAAGGCGGAGGATTAACCTAGTGAGCCGCGGCGCCTGCCCCACCATCTAATCTTTAAAAAGATTATTTATTTTCTTTATTATTTATTTTGTGAAAGAGAGTGAGCAAGCACCTTCCATCCGCTGGTTCAACCCCCACTCCCATGGCCACAATGCTAGGAGCTTTATAATACTTAGTCTTTATTTAATTTCAACTCTTCTATATGGAAATCATTTTAAGATATAATCCTCGGCCAGCGCCGCGGCTCACCAGGCTAACCCTCCGCCTGCGGCGCCAGCACTCCGGGTTCTAGTCCCATTTGGGGCACCGGTCCTGTCCTGGTTGCTCCTCTTCCAGTCCAGCTCTCTGCTGTGGCCCGGGAAGGCAGTGAAGGATGGCCCAAGTACTTGGGCCCCTGCACCCCATGGGAGACCAGGAAAAGCACCTGGCTCCTGGCTTCGGATCAGCACAGCGCGCAGGCCATAGCGGCCATTTGGGTGGTGAACCAGCAGAAGGAAGACCTTTCTCTCTGTCTCTCACTAACTCTGCCTGTCAAAAAAAAGAAAAAGGATATAATCCTTAAACATTAATTAAACATTAAAGGTTGTAAACCATAGAAATTTCAAATCTCTAATATGAGAAGTTACATCACAGCCCTTCCATTATATCTCACACTGGGAGTGATTTAAGGAATGCATAAGGGATTGGACTTAATTCCTTATAAACGGCAGGAATTTCAAAGATTGCAGAAGCTTTGAGTAGCTTTCCTCCTATTGAGACAGAGGTTTTGAGGTTTTTATTTTGTTTTCTTACTAGTAAACCTTCTTCAATCCCAATCTTCTCTAGGGACATATGTACATCTAAAAACTGATTGGAAAAGTGCTTGATAGCCATCTCACATTTTGAGGATTTGCCTACAAGAAACAAAGACTGTTTGGTTTCAGGATTTTCTCGCCTTATGTCCTGTCTCTAAACTTCCACTTTCAAAGTCAAAGAAACTAAGATCTTACACACTCACACAACGACTAAATCGCAGAAGGCTAAGGGCAATTGAAGTGAAGGGGCCACAATATTCAATAGATAAAGGCATCCAAAGGAGGAAAAAAAAAACCACGAATATTCTGAGCAGTTCAGGTGCCCTGCCTGCTTCCTCACATTGCAGAAGGAAAAACCACGCCCAGAGCCTAAACAAACACGCACACCAGCTTGAGGGTCCCACACTCCCCTCAGGGTCAGTCCTCGGGGAGAACGGCCTCGGACACTCGCCCACCACGGCCTGCTCTCTGCAGACGTCACAGCTCACCATCGGGGATCTAACCGTCACTAAACCGCGTGAAACCTAACCAGCGACTTTCATCCACCTCCCTAACGGGGAAAAAAAAAAAAAACAAAAATCCCCCTCCAACCCCCCCCCCCCAAAAAAAAAAACCCATGCTCACGGCAGCCAGCACTGCGGATGCAAAAAACTCAAACCTCACCAAAGCTCAACCCCAGCCTAGGGGTCGCCAGCTGTCCGGGGCGGCCAAGGGCTCCCTCCCGCCCTGCAAGGGGCACCCCGCGGGACGCCGGGGCGACACGCGCCTCCCGGGACGTGGCTCCGGCTTCTGGCACCTGGGCACTTCCCGCCCTGGGCACAGCCGTGCGGGGCTTCGAGACGCCGCTTCCCGCACGTTTAGAAAAACACACATGGAAACGGGTGACCGCTGGGGGCGGAGAGGGCCGGCGGCCCCCCCACGCCGAGTCCGCGTGCTCCCGCGACCCTCCTGCCGTCAGCGCACGAGCTGAGGAGACGCGGGGCGCCGGCGGAGGACGCCCGCTTCCCCCTCCGAAGGCCCGCATCCCGCCTCAGCCGGTTCCAGCTGCTTCCAGCCAGCCCCTGCTCCCTCCTCAGGACGCCCGGCTGCGGACACTCACCATGTCCCGGGCGGCCCCGCCGGCCCCAGCGCCACAGCCGAGGCCGCGGAGACCCGGGAGACCCCTGAGGCGGCCCGAGGCCGCTCACCGCCCACGTGACACGGGCGGGGCGGGGCGCGGCTCCCGAACGCGCCGCCGGCGGGACGTAGCCTCGCCCACCTCTCAGAAAGCGCTCCTGATTGGACGGTCCTCGAGGCCCCGCCTACGGAGGCCCCAGACGGACAGGTTCGGAACGCTGGCCTCGCGTAGGGGCCACGCGTTGGCGGTCAGCGTCCGCTTGTCGCCAGCCCTCTACGCGGGCCCTGGCGGCCCTCCCGCCGCTGTTTCAGATCGTGGGGGCGGGGGGGACTCGAAGCTGCACGGGGCTCAGCTTATGAACGTTGCCCTTTATTATTTTTTTAATCCATTCTTCCTTCACGAAGCCTGTGGTTCCAGCTACGCTGTTGTGAATGCCATTGCTGCAGACGGCCGGGTGTTAGGCACAGAGACCCCGTCTCATTCTGCGGTGCCCGGGTTCGAGTCCCAACTTCCATCCGAGGCCAGCTCCCTGCGCATGCGCACCCGGGGAGGCAGCAGGTTGCGGTTCAAGTACTGGGGTCCTTGCCGCCCCCGTGGGGGACCCGGATGGAGTTCCGGGCTCCTGGTGTTGGCCTAGCCTGTTGTAGAACCAGCAGATGGAAACTCTCTCTCCCCTTCCCCTTAAATAAAATTAATAAATGCATCATGAAGCTTTTTTCATATCAATCAGTAACCTCCCTAATTGTTTATGAAGGTACCTAAGATGCTATGCCTACGGAACTATGTCTTTAAACAGACACAGGGGGCCGGTATTGTGTCGCAGATGGGCGCCAGTTTCAGTCCCAGCTGCTCCACTTCCGAAGCAGCTCTCTGCTAGTGGCCTGGGAAAGCAGTGCAGGATGGCCCAAGTGCTTGGGTCTCCACCACCCACACTGGAGACCCGAATGAAGCTCCTGGCCCTCGCTGGCCCAGCCCTGGCCCTGGTGGCCATCTAGGGAGGAAAGCAGTGTAGGGAAGATCTCTCAAAATAAAATCTTTTTAAAAAAAATATCAAAATAAATATTCCAAATATTTAATAATTTCTATTTTGTAGTGAAGTACATCATAATTACAAAATAAAGCATAAAATGTTTTATGGCTAAATAATAATTGTATAAATTTCTGTGTCCTACACACCTATGGTAATTAATAGGTCCTGGGCCCTTCACAGCCTGACCACATGTCCCTCCTGTCTCAAGACGCTACTAACGATGCAGCCTTGCACGGATATTCTTCAGTCTTACTATCTACTATTGCTCACGGAGCAGCATTTGGCTTAATTTTACCACTTTGGAATTGTGAAATAAAATGGAGAAAAAATAAAATAAAATAAAATGGAGGGATGGGTGTCTCCATGGTTTCCCTTCTTCCCACTTGTTTCCTGTGTGCTGGTCCCTGCGACCTGCGCCACCCTACTTGCTCATCCATTCTATGTAGGATAGGATTTCACCTGCTTTTTCATTTTTGCTCTTACAGAACATTCTCACATCTGTTAAGTGCCCAGGCACAACAGCTTCGCTACAGAGAACATGTGGTGGGTTGGAGGTTCCGAGCAGCTTCAAACTTACCAGCGTTACTGTAATGGAGGATATGAAGAGACCCTCCCACCTTCTCTCGATAGGTGTTTATCCCAGTGTCGTGGCTGTGACCACAGAATTATTTCATGTATGACCCAGTGGCTGTGGGTCATTAGCTTTGGGGATGTCTGAGTTTGTGTGACTAAGTGTGTGGGTAGTGACCAAGTCTATGTGATTTTTTTTTAAGTACTTATTTGATAGGCAGAGTTGAGGTGGGGGGGAGGGGCATCATTCCCCAAATGGCCCAAAAGCCAGGGCTGGGCCAGGCAGAAGCCAGGAGCTCCATCTGGGTCTCCCATGTGGATGGCAGGGACCCAAGCATTTGGGCCATCTTCCATGTGGATGGCAGAGACCCAAGCACTTGGGCCATCTTCCTCTGCTCTCCCAGGTGCATTAGCAGGGAGCTGGATCAGAAGTGGAGCAGCTGGGACTCGAACTGGCGCCCATGATGGGATGCCGGCCACACAGGCCAAGTCTTAGCCCACCATACCACAGCAGTGGCCCTGGCACATTCCAGTTTCCACAAACCTTTTAAAGTATCCTTCTGTCTGATAGCATAGCAGCTGTTTGAAAAGATTCAGTAAGATATTTCCAGAGAACAGCTACAGAATCCTTTGACCAAAGAAATGCATTGTTGCAATCACATGTTACAAACCTAGGAGGTTTGGAGGTGCTCCAAGCCACTGGAAGGCATCAGACACTCAGAGCCTGCCTGCCGTGGGGATGGAACCGCTGGGATCCACGGCACTGCACGACAGGGCAGGAGAGGAACCACTCCCGTGGGCTGCTCTGTGACTGCACCATGGCAGTGGCCACACAGTCATCGTGTACAGAGTGCACCACACCCGACGCCAGAGAGGACGGAAGTCAGGGGATCGGAGATCCAAAGTGCAGACAGATCTCTGCGGAAACCTGCACCTCTGAGAAAATGGAATGAGCAGCCCCCAGTGGTTTCCGCATACTCTTGATTGGCAGGGCAAAGTATTAGAAAGCAGGTGTCAGCCGGCGCTGTGGCTCAGTGGGTCAATTCCCCACCTGTGGCACCAGCATCCCATGTGGGTTGCTGGTTTGAGTCCTGCCTACTTCTTTTCTGATCCAGCTCTCTGCTGTGGCCTGGAAAAACAACAGAAGATGGCCCAAGTCCGTGGGCCCCTGCACCCGCATGGGAGACCCGGAAGAAGCTCCTGGCTCCTGGCTTCGGATCAGCCCACCTCCAGCCACTGTAGCCATCTGGGGAGTGAACCAGTGGATGAAAGACCTCTCTCTCTGTCTCTTCCTCTGTCTATAACTGTTCTTCTCAAACAAATAAAATCTTAAAAAACAAACAAACAAACAGGTGTCCACAAAGTCCTTGTGCTTTTGTCCGTGACTCTTGTCTGCTTCACTTCCACATTCCAAGGGCCATGCAAGTTCCACCACCACTGATTTTTTTTTTTTTTTTTTGACAGGCAGAGTGGACAGTGAGAGAGAGAGACAGAGAGAAAGGTCTTCCTTTGCCATTGGTTCACCCTCCAATGCCGCCGTGGCCGGCGTGCTGCAGCCGGTGCACTGCACTGATCCGATGGCAGGAACCAGGTACTTATCCTGGTCTCCCATGGGGTGCAGGGCCCAAGTACTTGGGCCATCCTCCACTGCACTCCCTGGCCACAGCAGAGAGCTGGCCTGGAAGAGGGGCAACTGGGACAGAATCTGGCACCCCGACTGGGACTAGTACCCGGTGTGCCGGCGCCGCAAGGCGGAGGATTAGCCTTGTGAGCCGCGGCGCCGGCCTTACCACCAATGATTTCTAACATGGACACAGGAAGGGAACAGGTTCTAGAAAAGTCAGCTCGCGATGCCAACACCGATACAATCTAAGGAGGACATCTCCAAATCTAGCTTATATTCTTATCATAGATCTTAATTTTTCAAAAATTTACTTATTTATTTATTTATTTAAAACACAGAGCAGGAGAGAGGAAGAGACAAAAATAGTAAGAGCTTCCATCCGCTGGTTCACTCCCCAAATGACTGCAAAGCTGGGGCTTGGCCAGGCCAAAGCCAGGAGCCAGGAAATTTCATCCTGGTCTCCCCACATGGGTGGCAGGCGTCCGGGTACCTGGGTCATCTTCTGCTGTCTTCCTAGGTGCATTAGTGTGCATCTACAGCTTGAGTGTGGCCCTCAGGGTTGGTGTGCTGAAATTCAAGTTCCACAGTGAGGTTATCAAGGGGGTGGACATGTGACCCACTGAGTTTTTGGTGGGCCGGGGCGGGGGTGGGGATTAGGAGAAGATAGCTAAGGACACTAGGATGTAGTCCTTATGATTGAATCCGGGTAATCTGCAAGGCAGAACAGGCACATACACAGGCCTGCTCCCTGATCCTGTGCTGCCAGCAAGCCTCCCATCAGATGCAGCCCACTGCTCTGACAAAAACCCAGAGCCGAAGCAAACCTTCTTGAGAATGATGATAGCAAAGAAAAGCAGACAGGCCGGCGCCGCGGCTCAGTAGGCTAATCCTCCGCCTAGCGGCACCGGCACACCGGGTTCTAGTCCCGGTCGGGGCGCCGGATTCTGTCCCGGTTGCCCCTCTTCCAGGCCAGCTCTCTGCTGTGGCCAGGGAGTGCAGTGGAGGATGGCCCAGGTGCTTGGCCCTGCACCCCATGGGAGACCAGGAAAAGCACCTGGCTCCTGGCTCCTGCCATCGGATCAGCGCGGTGCGCCGGCCGCGGTGGCCATTGGAGGGTGAACCAATGGCAAAGGAAGACCTTTCTCTCTGTCTCTCTCTCTCACTGTCCACTCTGCCTGTCAAAAAAAAAAAAAAAAAGCAGACAGATCTCCACCCCCTGATGCTCCTACTCTCCGTAGAGAAGGTCCAGACCCGCACCCAGCTTTTCCTCCGAGCCCCCATTTCCACCGAAGTTTCACCATTTGCTCACCATCTCATTTCTCTCTCACATGCCCACAAATAAGCACCAGGACTGTACGAATTTGTTTTCTATGTCTCTATTCGGAGTCTAGGGTGCCTGGATTCTTCGTGCTATGTTTTTGAGTATACAATACTGTTCTTTTTTTTTTTTTTTTTTTTTTTTTTTGACAGGCAGAGTGGATAGTGAGAGAGAGAGAGACAGAAAGGTCTTCCTTTTGCCCTTGGTTCCCCCTCCAATGGCCACCACGGCCGGCTGCAGCACGCTGATCCGAAGCCAGGAGCCAGGTGCTTCTCCTGGTCTCCCATGGGGTGCAGGGCCCAAGCACTTGGGCCATCCTCCACTGCCTTCCTGGGCCACAGCAGAGAGCTGGCCTGGAAGAGGGGCAACCGGGAAAGAATCCAGTGCCCCAACCGGGACTAGAACCCGGTGTGCCGGCGCTGCTAGGTGGAGGATTAGCCTATTGAGCCGCAGCGCCGGCCTTGAGTATAAAATACTGTTCTATGAGGGACATGGTGTTTTAGTTGCGGGGGGCTAGTATTGGGGTACAACAGGTAAAGCTGCCGCCTATGATGCCGGCATCTCAAATGAACACTGGTTTGAATCCCGGCTGCTCCACTTCTGATCCAGATCCCTGCTAATGCACCTGGGAGAGCAGGGGAAGGTGGCCCAAGTGCTTGGGCCCCTGCAACCCACGTGGGAGGCCTGGATGGAGTTCTTGACTCCTAGCTGCTGCCTGAATCAACCCCAACCGTTGCAGCCATCTGGAGAGTGAACCAACTGATGGAAGACCTTTTTCTGTCTCTCCCTCATTGTAACTTTCAAATAAATAAATCTTTTTTAAAAAAATGACTTAGTTGGGATGGTGAGGCTGTTTGTTCTTAGTGTGGCCTCATCTGCCATATATATTAGTGAGTTTATCTTTTTCTTTTTTTTCCTAAGATTTATTTGAAAGGCAGTGTTACAGACAAGGAGAGACAGAGAAATATTTTGCATTCACTTGTTCATTCCCCAAGTGGCCACAATAGCTGAGGCTAGGCCAGGCCGACGCCAGGAGCCTGGAACTTCATTCATGTCTCTCATGTGAGCAGCAGGGGTCCAGGGACTTGGGTCATCTTCCACTGCTTCCCCAGGTGCATTAGCAGGGAGCTGGATCTGAAGTGGAGCAGCTGAGACTGGAACTGGCACGCACGTGGGATGCCTGCTCAACCTGCTGTGCCACAATGCCATCCTCTATGTATCTTTTTTTTTAATGTTTATTTTTATTTATTTGAAGGAGACACACAGAAGAGACAGGAACAATTTCCACTTGCTGGTTCACTCTGTCAATGTCCACAACAGTCAGGGCTGGGCCAGGCCAAAGCCAGGAGCTCAGGGTCCCCTGTGTAGGTGGTGGGGACCCCAGTACTTGAGTCTTCAGCTGCTGCCTCCCAGGGTGCATCAGCAAGAAACTGGGCAGAGCAGAGGAGCTAGGGTTCACGCTAGCTCTCTAATTTGGACTGAGGTGATGCCAAGCCATGGTTTGATCTGCTGTACTACAACACACACCTAAAGTTTAGATATCCTGACTGAGGTATTTTACAGAAAACAACAACAACAAAACAAAACAAACCTGTTTAGGGGCCGGCTCTGTGGCGCAGCGGGTTAAAGCCCCGGCCTGAAGTGCTGGCATCCCATATGGGCACTGGTTCTAGTCCCAGCTGCTCCTCTTCCGATCCAGCTCTCTCCAATGGCCTGGGAAAGCAGTGGAAGATGGCCTAAGTGCTTGAGCCCCTGCACCCATGTGGGAGACCCGGAAGAAGCTCCTGGCTTCAGATTGGCAAAGCTCCAGCCATTGCGGCTAATTGGGTAGTGAACCAGTGGATGGAAGACCTCTCTCTCTCTCTCTCTCTTTTCCTCTCCTTGCCTCTTTGTGTAACACTGACTTTCATATAAATCTTTTTTTTAAAGAAAAAAAAAAAAGAAAACCTGTTTAATGTATCTTAGGAAATATTTTCGTGTTTAGGTAAAAGTAAGAAAGGCAAACACAGGACCAGTAGACTGGGAGCTGGCCTCATCCTCACCAAAAGCTAAGCCTCATGCTATTGAAAAGACAACGTGAGGTTTCTCCGACATCAGACGTTGCACCTCAGGGGCCGTGAAGGATCATGGGGAAAACAGAGGCATCTTGGAACCTCGTCCCTAACACTGGTCAAAGAACACGCGTCACATCCTAAAAATGGCCAACATCTCCTTCTTCTCATTAATATGAATGACTGGGGCTTCCAAGTCCTTCTGTTGTACCTTCTAAATAAAAACTATTGGGATTCCCAAGGATGAACAGAACTCATTCTGTCTTCCTAATCAGCCCATATGAAGGAAGCAGAAAGTACTAGAAGCCTTTCAACGCTCTCATGGAGCCGCAGTGCCATGTGGTTCACGGTCAGGTTCAGTACTACAACTTTATTACAGTGCTTTGCCAGCGCCTGTCATCCTGCTACTCACAACTGTTAAGATTTCACTTTTGATGCTGAGGGAAGAAGAAACCATGATAAAAAATTCCAACTATGCAATGCATTTAAGCAAAATTTTACATGAGAGCAGAAGGCCTGTGGTGGTCCACACACAGTATCTGGTGAATAACAAGGCAAAATATACAGTCAACCAGACCCAGGATGGCATTGGGACAGATGCTTTAATTCATTTCTCAGGAAACAGAAGACGGTAATGTTTGGTGCTTGAAAATGTTTAATATGAAAATACTTCTAAGACATACACACGCACATGCACACACACACACAACTTCCACTTGAGAAAAACAATGCATATTTCAAAAATCACACAGAATAAAACAAGACTGAAAATGAGCCGAGGGATTACATTGAGTCTTGATGAACAGGAAACACCTATGGGCTTCTGGAAATGTGCAAGGTGGTGCCTCTCAAGTGAAAGATGACGTGAGGGCAAAAAATACCCAAGTTCTCATCAAGTTGTTTCGCTTTGTTTATTAAACACTTATTTATTTGAAAGGCAGAGTTAGTGACAGAGGAGACAGATTTTACAGATCTGGCTACAATGGCCAAGGCTGGGCCAGGCCAAAGGCAGGAACCAGGAGCGACATCCAAGTCTTCCATGAGTGGCAGGGGCCCAAGCACCTGGGCCATCTTCCACTGCTTTTCCAGGCCCATTGGCAGGGAGCTGGATCCCCAGTGGAGCTGGGACTCGAACCGGCGCCCACACAGGATGCCTGCATTATAGGCGGCAGCTTAGCCCACTGCACCACGGCACCAGCTCCCATCAGGCAGTTTCACGGTGACATCGCTGCAGCTGTCATGCTGAATAAAGAGCAGCCACCACCTGTACGAACAAGGGTTTTGCGTCAATGAGGCCCTCTACAAAGTCAAGAGAGGGCGGAGTGTATCTCCCCAAGAGAACATCCCCAAGTATGACGGCACAAACCAGTGCCTCACAGACACCCAGGGCTTGGAGGCAATCCCAAACTGCGAGTGGGTCTTTCACGTGGAGACCTACACCCCTAAGAAAATGTAGTGAAGTAGTCGGTGGGGGATTCTGACAGTAGTTTTGATTGGCAAAACAATCAGAAAAATGGGGTGGAAGAAGGTGTCTACCCCACCCCACCCCACCCCCTTATTATTCTGTGTCTCTGGTGGCTCCAGATACGACTATTTTCTTCACTTTCACCTCCCAAACCTCTGAGTTGGGCTGCCAGTGAAATTTAACACAGACTCATAAAGTGACTGGATTCTGAAAAACCTCACTCTTAACACTGGAGTAACACAACCCAGAGATCCAGCTCCAATTCTGAACTCCGTGGTCCTATATCACAGGTCTTTTCCCCCGGATTCAAAGTGGACCATCAAAATAATGGCCAGACATACTGCCACTAAAGAGCAACAAGAGAGGAAAATAATTTATTATATTCTGTAATAAATTCTGCTATCAAAGAAAATGAAATAAACGTCTGTGCTCCATAAGATAAATAAATAAATAAATAAAAAATAAAACCAGTAGGGGAGGGCACTGTACTGCAGGGTCCCCATGCTATAATGGAGCACCAGTCTGGGCCCTGGCTGCTCTGCTTCTGGTCTAGCTTCCTGCCAATGTACCCTGGAGGCAGCAAATGAAGGCTCAAGTGTGTGTGCTCCCACCACCAATGTGGGAGACCCAGGAAAAGTTCCAAACCCCTGGTTTTGGCCTGGCCCAGCTCTGGGAAGTAAACCACTCAATGGAAAATCGCGCTCTCTCTCTCTCAAAGAAAGGTAGCCTATATATAATATGGATGAGAGATATCCAGAAGTTGCCACAAGGCCAGTAAGAAAATCCCAACAAAGACTAATTTTTCACTTGCCCATTAATCTCACAATAGTTAAAAAACTAGATAAAACTTTAAAATTAAATATCCATACATATTATAAGTACATTTCAATTCACCCATGGATCCAAAACACTGCAAGATGGATAAACACGAATTCTATTAAGTGATTTAAGAAAAACACATTACCCATGAAACTTGTGTACCACTGCTTAAAATATACTTAAAAATTATCTCACTTCAATATTTTTTGTGAGAATTAATAGAAAGCCATAGTTCAGAGATCCCTATTTTGACCCCGAATAAAGAAAATCAATTCAGAGACCCGTGTGGTGGCACAGCAGGTAAAGCCAGCACTTGCAACACCAGCATCCGATATGAGTACCAGTTCATGCCCCACCTGCTCCACTTCTAAACCAAGTGCTAATGGTCTGGGAAAAGCAGCAGAAGATGGCCTAAGAGTTTGGGTCCCTGTCACCCACATGGGAGACCCGGATGAAGCTCCTAATTTCAGCCTGGCCCAGCCCTGGCCATTGCGACCATCTGGGCAGCAAACCAGCAGATGGAACTCTGTCTCTATCTCTCCCTCCCTCTCTGTAACTCTGACTTTCAAGTCAATCAATCTTAAAAAAAAACAAAACAAAACAAAACAACAACTTGTAACTTTTTTTAACACTGGCCTCACCTTGTATGCTTTATGGAACGTTACATACAGATGAATTTGCATCAGGCTGTTACTGTTACTTGGGTCAGGACCACGACTGTACACTGAGAATATTCACATGTCTCCAAGCACCCGCTCTAGCTGGAAGCTCCCATCGGCGTCTCATACTTACAAGGCTGAATCCACCGGGTACCCCTAGAGAGGCGGTGAGGACGAAAGCCTTCGTCTGTTCCTTCTATGCGGTTTCTCTCCAATCTGAGAGCTCTTCCGCGCTTGCGTTTTGTGCACGCTGAGAAGTTTTCACGGATCTGCGCCGCAGAACAGGCTGAAGGCCAGGCTTCGCCACACTGTGCACGGGCTCAGGGCTTCTCCCCAGCGTGCGTCCGCGCGTGCACGTGCAGGTAGCTGGAGCGGCTGAAGGCTTTACCGCACGTCTTGCACTCGTAGGGCTTCTCCCCAGTGTGGGTCTTTTCGTGTCTTTGGAGGGAACTGGACGACGTGAAGGCTTTGCCGCACTGCTTGCACGCGTAGGGCTTCTCTCCCGTGTGGGTCCGCTCGTGGATTCGGAAGGAACTGGAGCGGCTGAAGGCCTTGCCGCACTGCTGGCACTGGTGCAGCTTCTCGCCGGTGTGGTACCGCTCGTGGATCTGGAACGAGCTGGCGCAGATGAACGTTTTCCCGCACTGGCTGCATTTGTAAGGCCCCTCGCCGGTGTGTGTGAGCATGTGCCGGCGAAACATGGCCAGGGAGATGAAGGTCTTCCCGCACTCGGCGCACTCCGAGCGCGCGTCCTGGCGGCTGTGCGTCCGCTCGTGGATGCGGAAGCTGCTGCAACGGCTGAAGGCTTTCCCGCATTTCGTGCACTCGTAGGGCTTCTCCCCGGTGTGAGTCCTTTCGTGCCTTTGGAAAGAACTGGGACAATTGAAGGTCTTCCCGCACCGCTTGCAGCCGTAGGGCTTCTCCCCCGTGTGCGTGCGCTCGTGGATCTGGAAGTTTCGGGAGCAGCTGAAGGCCTTGCCGCACCGCGGGCACTCGTACGGCTTCTCCCCGGTGTGCGTCCGCGCGTGCATGTGCAGGTAGATGGAGCGGCTGAAGGCTTTGCCGCACGTCTTGCACTCGTAGGGCTTCTCCCCGGTGTGGGTCTTCTTGTGTCTTTGGAGGGAACTGGACGACGTGAAGGCTTTGCCGCATTTCGCGCATCCGTGCGGTTTCTCTCCCGTGTGCGTCCGTCTGTGTTTCTCAAAGGAGCTGGACAGGCTGAAGGCCTTGCCGCACTGCTGGCACTGGTGCAGCTTCTCGCCGGTGTGGTACCGCTCGTGGATCTGGAACGAGCTGGCGCAGATGAACGTTTTCCCGCACTGGCCGCATTTGTAAGGCCCCTCGCCGGTGTGTGTGAGCATGTGCCGGCGAAACATAGCCAGGGAGATGAAGGTCTTCCCGCACTCGGCGCACTCCGAGCGCGCGTCCTGGCGGCTTGGAGTCCGACCGTGCACTTGAACTTTACCGGCACAATCAAAGGTGCTGTCACGTGCTGTACACTTGTAGGGTTTTTCTCCAGCGCGCGACCTCTCGTGGTTTTGGAAAGAACTGGGACAACGGAAGCTCTGCCCACGCTCCTTACATTGGTAGGGTTTCTCTCCAGTGTGCGTCCTTTCAGGAACGTCACGGGACAGCTGACCGCTCACGGCTCTCCCGCGTTCCTTCTCTCTGGGTGTCTCTTCCTCTTTCTGAGTTTCACACGGTGGGCATCCAGCGTCTGTCTTCTTGTGCCCACGGAGGGCCGAATGACCGGTGAAGCCTTCCCACATGCCGCCTTGGCAGGCGTTCACTCCCGCAGTTTTCACGTACAGATACTGATGGAGAATCTGGCTGAAGGTTTCTGGGCGTTGCTGGTCATCCTGAATTTCAGAGAGCCCGTCTCCCGGGAGACTTCTGTAGAAAAGGAGAAGCACTGTTAGGAAGGGCTTTTTCACCATTTTCTATCAACAGTGACTGCACAGATGTTGTCAACGTGTGGTGGAATGAGGAGGCCATGCCAAGATGGCCGCTGGCAAGGGAGAGTCAGTTACTCAGGAATGGCTTTGAAACCCACCTGGTAATGGAGCCTGCCTGGCAACAGGCTGTGATTGGGTAGCTTCGGATACTGCCTGGCAACAGGGTGTGATCTGTTAGGGCATAGACTGCCCCTTGACCGGATTGGCTGTTTTGGATATATAAGCTGCTATACCAACTGAAATAAACGAGTATGCAGGCTGCTAGCCTCTGGCCTGATTTCACCCGACTACCCAGGGGGTCTGTGTGGTGACTCCGCGCCTCTTGCCCCCACCATGCTCCTCCTCTCAGAACAAATCCACCTCAACATCCGTGATCAGGGACTTGAGGAAATGCTTGGCAACTGACACAGCTTGACCACAGTTATCCACATAGCGATACTGGGGCTGCCATTGTGATGTGGTGGGGTAAGCACGTTGGGCCCCTGCACCCACGTGGGAGACCAGAAAGAAGCTCCTGGCTTCTGATCAGCTCAGCTCTGGCCGTTGTGGCCATTTAGGGAGTGAACCAAATGGGGAGTGGATGGAAGACCTTTCTCTGTCTGTCTCTACCTCTCACTATAACTCTTTCAAATAAATAAAATAAAAACTTAAAAAAAAAAAAAAACAAACCAGGAACTGGAAATACTGAAGACTTTTCCACCTTGATTACGTTCATACAGCTTCTCTCCAGTGTGACAGCTTTCATGTATTTGAAATGAACTGGAGCAAATGAATGTTTTCCCACAGTCCACACATGCATAAGGACAGCCACGTAATACTCAGGTAGATATTTCTGAACAGAATTTTTGATCGATAAAGAAATTTGAGGGGGCCAGCACTGAGAAGCAGTGGATAAAGCTGCCACCTGTGGTGCCGGCATCCCATATGGGCACCGGTTCAAGTCCTGGCTGCTCCTCTTCTGGTCCAGCTCTCTGCTATGGCCTGGGAAATCAGTGGAAGATGGCCCAAGTCCTTGGGTCCCTGCACCCACATGGGAGACCCGGAAGAAGCTCTTGGCTTCTGGCTTCGGGTTGCAAGACCTCTCCCTCCCCCTCCCCTTTCTCCCTCTCTCTCTCCTTCCCTCCCTCCTTCTCTGTAACTCTGCCTTTCAAATAAATAAATAAATAAATCTCTAAAAAGAAAGAAAGGAAGGCCGGCCCCGCGGCTCACTAGGCTAATCCTCCTCCTGCGGCACCAGCACTCCGGGTTCTAGTCCCAGTCGGGGTGCCAGATTCTGTCCCGGTTGTTCCTCTTCCAGTCTAGCTCTCTGCTGTGGCCCGGGAGGGCAGTGGAGGATGGCCCAGGTACTTGGGCCCTGCACCCACATGAGAGACCAGGAGGAAGTACCTGGCTCCTGGCTTTGGATCGGTGCAAGCAGCCACTTGGGGGATGAACCAATGGAAAAAGGAAGACCTTTCTCTCTGTCTCTCTCTCAACCTGTTCAACTCTGCCTGTCTAAAACAGAACAACAAAAAAGAAAGAAAGAAAACTGAAGCTGGACTTCTGTGTTTTATTGTTAAACTTTCTTGGCATGCTATGCTTCTCTCCAGGGATACTGTTTCCTGTTGTAGGTGCAAAGTACCTTAGGTTTCTCCCAAGATTTCTGTGCTCATCATCCAGGTCCTGGTCTTTCCATTTTATTCCTGAAAAAGACCCAGAAAAATCATTATGAGTTATTACAACAGTTAGAGAAGACATAGTAGATTCCAGGTTCAGGGTGCATGGCAACACTGCTGACCGAGTCAACAACCTCCTGCTTTTCCCCACTGTGACTCTTGGAACAGTGTGCTGACCTACAAACAGCTGTCCTCTAATGACTTGGTGTGGGAATGTCACCCTTACCTACAGCAGCCAGGTTCCTGATGGTTTCTCGCATCACATCCCTGTAGAGATTCTTCTCAGAAGGATCCAGCAAAGCCCACTCCTCTGGGGTAAAGGTCACAGCCACATCCTCCAAGGTCACTGGGTCCTAGGAGATGCCACGTGTGTGCACAAGACAATGGGAAATGCTACGTGAAATCAAGCCAAATCCTACAAACACCACACGTCTTTCTCTTATTTGTGGTAGTTAAGAAAGAGAGAGTATGAGAATTGTGCTGATGTCATTTCATCTGGCATATAGCTATATACATATTTTTACATATAGTCCATCTTATGCAATTGCAAGAAGGACACTGGAGGAGCCAGTATTGTGGTCTTCAAGGGTTAAGCCGCCTGTGACACTGGCATCCCATATGGGTGCCAGTTCGAGTCCCAGCTGCTCCACTTCCAATCCAGCTCCCTGATAATGTGCCTGGGAAAGCAGCAGAGGATGGAACAAGTTCTTGGGCACCTGCGCCCATGTGGGAGACCCAGAAGAGGCTCACAGGAACTGGCTTCAGATCGGCTCAGCTCAGCTCCAGCCACTGTAGCCATTTGGGGAGTGAACCAACAGATGGAAGACCTCTATCTCTCTGTCTGTCCCTCTCTCTGTAACTCTGTCTTTCAAATAAACAAAATAAATCTTTAAGAAAGATTTAGGAACAGGCATTTGGCTACCTTAAAATGCTGTTGAGAACATCCCTGCCCTACATCAAAATGCCTGAGTTTGACGCCTAGCTCCAGCTCCTAACTCCAGTTTCCTGCTAATCTGGACCCTGAGAGGCAGTAGCAATCAATCAAGTAACTGGATTGCTGCTACCCACATGGAAGACCTGGGCTGTTCCCACCTCCTGGCTTTGGCCTGGCCCTACCCTGTCCAAGGAGGTCAGGGGGAGAGCAGACAGGAGGACAGGAGCTTGCTCATTCTGTCTCTCAAATTAATTAATTGTTTCAATCTACGATTTGGAAAGGTAACATTCCAACAGCATAATAGTAGCAGAGATTAAACAGTGAGAAACAGGAAAAGCATCTTCAATGGAGCAGCACTGACGTTCTTAATGATACAGCAGACATTTCAGAATAGTGGCAGAGATCATGAGGATCTGAATACCTGGCTGAGGGCAACCCGCTATCCAACTGGAATACTCCATTGCACTGCCCTCTATTCCACGGAAAACAGTATTATTCATTTCAAGGTGAAAGGTAAAACTACAAAGCTGGGGCTGGCACTGGGGTGCAGCAGGTCAAGTTACAGCTTGCAGCACAGGCATTCCATATCTGAGTGCTGGCTTGAGTCCTGGCTACTCCACTCTGATTCGGCTTCCTGCCATTGTGCCTGGGAAGGCAGCAGAAGATGGTCCAGGTACTTGAGCCTCTGCCTCCCATGTGGTAGATCAGGAGAGAATTCCCGGCTCCTAGCTTTAGCTAGGCCTAGCCTTGGCTGACGTGGCCTTTTGGGGAGTGAACCAGCGGTGGAAACCAATCAGTCAGTATCTCTCTCTCTCCACCCTACCCTCACCTACCTTTCAAATAAATAAGTGAATCTTTTTGTTTAATTATTATACAATTCCCAGTTAAATGCTTTTTTGGTACAAGACTAGGCAGAACTGGGGCCGGCACTGTGGTGTAGTGGGTAATGCCGCTGCCTGCCCTCCGTGCCGGCATCCTACATGGGCGCCGGTTCGAGTCCCGGCTGTTCCACTTTCAGGACCCCTGCACTCGCTTGGGAGACCCAGAGGAGGCTCTTGGCTCCTGGCTTCAGATCAGCACAGCTCCAGCCATTGCGGCCAACTGGGGAGTGAACCAGCAGATGGTAGACTCTCTCTTTCTCTGTCTTCTTTCTCTTTCAAGTAAATAAATCTTTAAAAAAAAAAAAAAGCATAAAAGCTTTCCATTTTGATCATGAACATATCACCTACTTTTTCTTGGTCTGAAGGCTTTTGCTGTCCTATCTGACAATCTTTTCCCCAAGTCTAAGCTCACGAGGACTGTGGATAACCACAACTTGTTCTACAGAGATGTCCTCTGATTCCCACAGGAGGAACGGATAATTCTTTGGGATGACAGGGAACTGAAACCCACCACACTACAAAAGTCATACTACAGGAGCTGCTGCTATGGCGCAGTGGGTTAACACCCTGGCCTGAAGTGCCAGCATCCCATATGGATGCCGGTTTGAGACCCGGCTGCTCTACTTCCAATCCAGCTCTCTGCTATGACCTGAGAAAGCAGCAGAAGATGGCCCAAGTCCTTGGGCCCCAGCACCTGCATGGGAGATCTGGAAGAAGCTCCTGGCTCCTGGTTTTGGATTGGCACAGCTCCGGCCATTGCAGCCAGTTGGCGAGTGAACCAGTGGATGAAAGACCCCTCTCTCTGCCTCTCCTCTCTCTGTGTAACTCTTTCAAATAAATAAATAAATCTTAAAAAAAAAAAAGTCAGACTACAATGTTACACTATCATAGCACTCATAAACTGTACACTCTAATAACACACCATATTAACTATACACAATATGTAAGTTTCATAAAAACATACTATTGATGTATAACTATGCCATACTCTCCGTATGTCACTACAAATTCCTAATGGAACAATCAAAGATCTAAATAAATGCAGAGATATCCCAAGCTCATAGATGGGAAGCTGCAACGTTATTAAGATATAAATTATCCCAATTAAGGATTATTCTAGCAAGTTACCTTGTAGGAAATAAGCCGCCATTAGCTTTCAGGAAACCATAGTCAGTTTTAAACTTTAGAGCCGAAGTGTACAGGGAAAGGCAGAAGACTCAGAACAAGCTGCAGCCCTGACACCATTTGACTTCAAGGCTTGCTGTGGAACTACAGTGGCACAAACAGACCGACAGAACAACCCAGAAGCAATCCACACAAATATAGCCAGCTGATCTTGGACGAGGGAGCAAAGGCAATTCAATGGAAACAGTACGATCATTTCAACAAAAGATGCTGAAGAATCTGGACACCCATATTCGCAGAAATGAGTTAGAAGCAGCTTTTAAAACCTTCCCAAAGTTAGTGCAAAATGGATCATAAATTGAAGTGTAAAATGCAAAATTTAGGCGCCCGGCACCGTGGCACAGCAGGTAAAGCCCCACCTGCGACACCAGTATCCCATATGGGTGCCGGGTCATTGTGGCCGTGGGGAGCAGGGGATGAACCAGCAGATAGAAGCTCTTGTCTCTCCCTCTCTTTCTGTAACTCTGACTTTCAAATAAATAAATGCATCTTTTTTTTTTTTTTTTTTTTTTTGACAGGCAGAGTGGACAGTGAGAGAGGGAGAGACAGAGAGAAAGGTCTTCCTTTTGCCGTTGGTTCACCCTCCAATGGCCGCCACGGCCGGCTGCAGCGTGCTGATCCGAAGCCAGGAGCCAGGTGCTTCTCCTGGTCTCCCATGCGGGTGCAGGGCCCAAGCACTTGGGCCATCCTCCACTGCACTCCCGGGCCATAGCAGAGAGCTGGCCTGGAAGAGGGGCAACCGGGACAGAATCCGGTGCCCCGACTGGGACTAAAACCCATGTGCCGGCGCCGCAAGGTGGAGGATTAGCCAAGTGAGCCGCGGCGCCAGCCAAATAAATGCATCTTTAAAAAGCAAACTAAAGACCATCTGGAACATAACTCACTGCTAGGGCACCAGAATCCCACAATGGAGCACCTGGGATTGAGTCCTGACTCTGCTCCCAGCTATAGTTTCCTGCTAATGCCCACCCTGAGAGGCAGCAGGCACCGGCTGAAGAAGTCAGGCTCCTTGGGGCTGGTGTTGTAGGATAGCGGCTAAAGCTACTGTCTGAAGTGCCAGCATCCTGTATGGGCGCTGGTCAAAGTTCCAGCTGCTCCTCTTCCGATACAGCTCCCTGCGAATGTGCCTAGGAAGGCAGCGGAAGAAGGGCCAAGTGTTTAGACCCCTGCCACCCATATGGGAGACCCGGAGGAAGCGCTTGGCTCCTGGCTTCACACTGGTCCAGCTCCAGCCATTGTGGCCATTTGGGGAGTGAAACAGTAGATGGAAGATCTCTCTCCCTCTCTCCCTCTCTCCCTCCCTCTCTCTCTCTCTCTCTCTCTCTCTCTGTAACTCTGCCTTTCAAATAAATAAATAAATCTTAAAAAAAAAAAAATCCCTACCTGGACTGAGTTCCCAGCTGCTGGAAGTTTTTCTCCATTTATCAAATCAATTAAATAAATTTTTTATTAAGAAATAAAAGAAAGATATCTCATCTACAAGACAAACAACATCACATTATTAGAGAAGTACAACATAAAACAGTGAGGCGCCACCACGTCCCAGCAGAGTGAGTGAAATCCAGAACACGGGCAACAATGTGGAGCAACAGGAACTGTCGCTGTTGGTGTGCATTGGAGTTACTTACCCATCATCCCCTGGTGCCTCCCAGCGTGCCCAGCAGCAAGATGCTGGGCCTCAAGTGGGAGCGGGACTCCAACACAGGATGCAGGCCTCCCAAGCAGGGCTCAGCCCGGCACACAACGCCTGCCTCGATCTGCAGTCTCATCTGTTATGGCAGCAGCCCAGAGGGACTGAGCCAGAGAAGCCCTTGTCACTCACACATACTCAGGCCCTGAAACCTGCACTGCAGAGAACGGCCTGAGCCCGGATAGAGTGCAACAGAGCAATTTCCGAAATCACAGTTCCTACCTGAAGGCACACGAATGTGTGATGGAGCAGGTTATCGCCAATAACGGTAATGATAGATGCAGGAACACACACATGGCAGGGACAAAGGGTCCCTGTCTGTGATTGCCACATACCATAATCGATTAATTATAGGCGTGCCTGTGGCAGTGAGTTCTAATCTTCTGTTACCTCAGCTTCCATGCTGAATGCAGGTTTCTTTTTTTAAGATTTTTTTTTTTATTTGAAAGAGTTATAGAGAGAGGTAAAAGAGACAGATCTTCCATCCGCTGGTTCACTCCTCAAATGACTGCCATGGCTGGAGCTGCGCTGATCCGAAGCCAGGAGCCAGGAGCTTCTTTGGGTCTCCCACGCGGGTGCAGGGTCCCAAGGACTTGGGCCATCTTCCACTGCTTTCCCAGACCACAGCAGAGAGCTGGATGGGAAGTGGAGCAGCCAGGACTCGAATCGGCACCCATACGGGATGCCAGCACTGCAGGCAGGAGCTTTAGCCCACTGTGCCAGGCCCTGAATACAGGTATAACTTTCTCATACTAGAAGCGGAAGTCAGTTCACCCCTCCTCCCAGTTCCTCAGTGTGATCATCGTACAGCTGCCTCCTGGCGACCAGTTTCCTCCAGGACAGCTAGAACCAACGTACTTGACTTGTCCACTGGCCCCTACCCTCCTTCCTCCAACACAGGCTGCACAGATCCGCAGCACAGCCACCTCTCAGGCACGGCGTGATTCCACGGAAGGCAGGCCAGCTCACCTGTAAACCCACCCACAGAACTCCCTGTGGGAACACAGCAATCTGCTAGCTCACGTCCCAGATGGCTGTCCCCCTTCTCTCCAGAGCCTCTAAGTAAGAAAGGCCTGTTTTTTTTATTTCACATCATTTGTTAACCTGCTTTCTCTGTCTCACCTAACTGACACACATGAAGCTACCATCTGGCTCCATCGGGGCTCTCTTAGGAAGTGGCTATCTTGGGGCTGGCGCTGTGGTGTAGTAGGTTAAGCATCTGCCAGTGGTGCCAGCATCCGATATGGGTGCCAGTTCAAGTCCTGGCTGATGGCCTGGGAAAGCAGTAGAAGATGGCCCATGTGCTTGGGCCCCTGCACCCACGTGGGAGACCTGGAAGAAGCTCCTGGCTCCTGGCTTTGGATTGGCTTAGCTCCAGCCATTGTGGCCATTTGTGGAGTGAACCAGTGGATGGAAGACCCCTCCCTCTCCCTCTCCCTTTCTCTGTCTGTAACTCTGCCTCTCCAATGCAGCTCTATTAAAATGCAAAGCCCATCCAAGTGTTGTAGAATGGGGTGAAAAGATAAAACCACCATCTGGAAGAAAAATATGTGCAATTCATACAGGACTAGTGAGCAGAAGGTGTGTGTGTGTGTGTATGCATGTGTGTTTAAGTAAAAATGACACATGAAAAAGTAACATGGGAAAATTACTGAAAATAATTTCACAGAAAAGACCACGGAGGAAAAGCACTCAGTACCAACGAATATCAGTAAGAAAGCAAAAGAAAGTCACACAGAGCGTGTTCCATCACCAGAGGGGCCAAACCAGATAAACTAACAATTCCGGTTGACAAAGCTTAGAAATCAAAACACTCCAGTGTGCAGGAACAGGCAGACTTGTGAACCTACAATACACCGACATTTCCCAGGGAAAGTGAATTTACTCAGAATCTACAGCCCAGCAATTTTTCCCCATCATGGAAAAAAGTTCGGATGCAATAGCACTTGGGGACAAAGCTAAAAGGACAGCGTAATATCCAAAGCAACTGGGAACATCGAAGCCCCACAAGCAATGGGTGAGTCAACGGGTTGAGCTGCAGCCTCAGACAGCATGTATGTGTAGCACTGAGGCAAAGGAATCCCGGGCATAGCATCAGACTGGGTGGTGCACCACAGGCGTTCATAGTCTTACTTAAGTTTACAAATGTTCCGCTTCCAGAATTTCCTTGCTTTCTTCCAATCTCCTCACTCAATCCAGGGAGCCGGCAAACAGGAACACGCATGCGTAAACCATGGCCTCACACTCCCGCAAATTAGAAGGATGTGACGTCAGGATTCCACAAGCGGAAGCCCCTCAGGGGAGCTACTTCACCACCAGCTCACAAGGAACCCACAACTCCCAAGGTTAAAGCCATTCCCAAGCGTGGGGACCGCTCTCACCGCGGAGATGCAGCCCAGGGGAGCTCCATTCGCCACAAGTCCGTGCTTCTGACCAACCCGCTCCTTGTGTTCCAAAAATTCCCTAGGATTATAAAACTCAGCCCAGACTGTCTGAGGGTTTACCAGCATTCTCAACAGATACAACTCCCGAAGTCAGCCGCAAGAGGCTATGGGGCGAGAGAGGGAGGGATGAAACAAGTCTCCCCTCCTGACCTGGAAGCTCTCTAAATGTTCTGAACTCCATTTCCAGCCTCTCTCCCCTCACAGAGGTCAGGGAAAGGGGAGCTTTATAGGCCCAACCCTCTTTCCAATTGGCAGCCCCCTCCCTCCCGGAAGCTATCAATGGGCCCCCATTAGCATCAATTCTAGATGGCATGCAGGGGGGCTTGTGGCGAATAACAAAAGACACTGGAGACACTCCAGAAATCCTAAAAGTGCCAGGAGCTGGGGGGAAAAAAAAATCACTTTTAAAAAATTATGTCATACACCCCCAGACTCTCAAACCCATACACCCTGTCATCATCATAAACCAAACATCATCTTTCTCTTCACTCTGAGCCCTCAGGCGTTGTCAACTGCCATCCGGGACTCTACAGAACCTTTTGCCAGGGGCCTTGTGATCCAGGTCCTAAGGCAAAGCTGTGCCCCTTCCCCCACTCGGAGTGATCCCGGCTTATCTCCTGCCTATGAGACAGACAAGTCCTTTTTCTACCTAATTTTTGGGACGTAAGTATTATACTGTTTTAACCTTACTATGATACTCCTTTTCTTTTTCTTTCTTTCTTTCTTTCTTTTTTTTTTTTTTTTTTTGCAAGATTTACTTGAAAGGCAGAGTTAGAGAGAGAGGACAGACAGAGATCCTCATCACTCCCTGATGATCCAGCTCTCTGCCCATACACTGGGGGATGGGGGACCAAGAATGGAACTGTGGATGGGATAGCCAGGCCCAGCTATTTGAGACGTGAATCAGCGATACAGGATCTGTCTCTCCCTCTCTCTCTCTGAATAAATAAATCTTTGAAAAATAAAAATAAACAAAACCAGTCCCAGGACAGTAACAGTCATGGGGCTGGCAGGTTCAGTTCTCCGCTTAATTCGCCTGGAAAAACAGCAGGAAGATGGTCCACGTGCTTGGGCCCTTGCTGCCCACGGGGGACACCGGAGGAAGCTCCTGGCCTAGTCCTGGGCATTGTGGCCATTTAGGGTGTAAACCAGTGGATGGAAGATCTCTCTCTGTGTCTCTCCCTCCCTCTGTAACTCTACCTTCCAAAGAAATAACGAAATTTAAAATAAATAAATAAAGGCATATCATCTGCACAGCTGTCCAGTGTGCTGGAGCGTCTCTCAGGTTACAGGGCTTCTTCCCTGCTGGGAAGGATCCATCAGCTGGACCTCAACGACCTTTCTAAGCAGTCTTAAAATCTCGGCCTTAACATCACACAAGCCTGCTCATTCCCAAGAGGGAGGGAGGGACGGAGGAGGAGAAAGAAACAAAAAACACACACAGCATTTGCAGAATCCAGCAAATCACATATATGCATAGGAGGAGATGAAACGTTACCCATACCTCATAGCATGCAAGAAAAGCAAAACTATCTCTTTCAGACAATGAACTGATTATTTTCATAACTGATTTAGTAACACAGTGAGTCACAGGTTAACACTTCCAGGTGTTGCAAAGCTCTGTTCCACGGGACCTAGCCTTAATCTGCCAAGTCCAGACAAAAAGACAAAGAATAGTCGTTGCAGTCTGGTGCTGTGGCGTAGTAAGTTAAGCATCCGCCTACAGTGCCAGCATCCCAAATGGGCGCCAGTTCGAGTCCTGGCTTCTCCACTTCCGATCCAGCTCTCTGCTATGGCCTCTGCCTGGCTGTTCCCTCAATATTAGCATCTCAATTCCCTGATTACCAATCTGTCCCCAAGGAATGAAAACTAGGAACCAGGGAAGAAGGGCTGGGTGTTCCAAGGGGCTCAGTGCAGGATGTATCAGGAGATACCTCCCCCCCCACTCTCGGCCCCAGGGTGTCCCCAGGGGTGTGGACAGTTGCTCCCTGAAAAGCCCCACCCTGTACTGCAGACTGTCCTCTATGGGGAGAGACCCAGCGGGAGACTCGGCAGCTGTGGGCATGGTGGGTCAACCCAGGGAGTTCTGAAGCCCAGAACTCAGGTAAAGATTGGGCGGGCGGGGGGGGGGGGGGGGGGGAGGAGCTAAGGACACAGCGTTCAGGGAAAGCCATCTGGAGTTATAAGACAAAAGAGGAGAGGCACAAGGATTGGTCCCTTTTTCCACACAGACACACCCAGGTGATGAGTCTCTGCTTTCCTCTCCTACAAAAAGCCCACAAGTGGAAAACAAGTGTTTTTTGTTTTTTTAAAGGGCTGGCCATCTCTTGCAGCGACAACACACTGCATCTGTGTGTTACATAGAACGAAAGGTCCTACTGGGTATCACCTGGAGAACTCGAGAGGTCAATCTGGCTTTTACAGTGTAAGGAGGAATCCAGACATTGAAAGATGGACTGGCAGTACTGCAAAGAACTACTGTGACCGGGAACGCAGGGTTTACACGAGAGGTGGGCTCGGAACAGGGGCCGAGAACCTAAACTGGTTTATTGCGCTGGCACCGTGGCTGTGGGTTAAGCCGCCACCTGTGACGCTGGTGCCACTTCCCATCAAGCTCCCTGCTCATGCACCTGGGAAGGCAGCAGAAGACTCCTGCTTGGACCCCTGCCACCCACGTGGGGGCTGGGGCTGCAGCTCCTCCCATCTTCAGCCTGGCTCAGCCCTGGCTGCTGTGGCTATTTGGGGAGTGCAGGAGTGGACAGAAGATCTCTCTCCCTCTGTCACTCTGCCTTTCAAACAAACAAGTAAATAAGTAAATCTTTTAAAAAGTATCATATCTGCCTGCAGTGCCAGCAGCCCATATGGGCACCAGTTCATGCCCCGGCTGCTCTTTTTTTTTTTTTTTGACAGGCAGAGTGGACAGTGAGAGAGAGAGACAGAGAGAAAGGTCTTCCTTTTGCCGTTGGTTCACCCTCCAATGGCCGCCACGGCCGGCGCACCACGCTGATCCGATGGCAGGAGCCAGGTACTTACCCTGGTCTCCCATGGGGTGCAGGACCCAAGGACTTGGGCCATCCTCCACTGCACTTCCTGGCCACAGCAGAGAGCTGGCCTGGAAGAGGGGCAACCGGGACAGAACCCGGCGCCCCAAACGGGACTAGAACCCGGTGTGCCGGTGCCGCAAGGCGGAGGATTAGCCTAGTGAGCCGCGGCGCCGGCCTGCTCCTCTTCTGATCCAGTTTCCGCTATGGCCTGGGAAAGAAGCGGAAGATGGCCTTAGTCCTTGGGCCCTTGCACCCACGTGGGAGACCCGGAAGAAGCTCCTGGCTCCTGGCTCCGAATCGGCGCAGCTCCGGCCATTGTGGGCAGTTGGGGAGTGAACCAGCAAATGTAAGACCTCTTTCTCTCTCTCTTTCATATCAATAAAATAAATATTAAACAAAAAAATTTGTTGCTCGGGGCGGCAGCTTCTTTAGGGGACTACCCCCTCCCACCCGTTCCCTTGGTTGTCACAATGAAGATTTCAACAACTCCTGCCTGAGGCTAATTATCCCAGGACCCAAGTGGCCGGATCCCTGACCCTGACCCTGACCCTAACACTAACACTAACCTTGCTAACATCACGGGGTGGGGGAGCTGGTGGCAGATTTGCGACCCTGCTACCCATAAACCTGGAAAGCTCGGGGGATAACCCGAGCCCCCTACACGGAGAGCAGCGCCTGGAGACCCCCCCTCCCCGCCACAGGCTCACACAGCGCGTCCCACGCACTAGCTCCACCCACGGAACCCAGAATCTCCCCCCAGGACCCTGCAGCCCGCACCGCACAGTCTGCGGGAGCCCTCACCGCACAGCCGCCCACAGAGGGGCTCCGGGCCGGGGCCGAAGATGCCACACTCGGGGGCGGTGACAGGACGCCGGGGTGGGGGGCCAGGCGACAGCCCCAGGCCCGACCCCGCGGCCACAGCCGGCTCCCGTCTGCTCCCCCCGCTGGGACGCGTGCCCCCCCCCGACGGGATCTCACCATTTCGGGGGCCTCGCAGCGGCTCCCGCCCCCGTGAAGGTCACAGCCAGACGGCAGCTGCGACAGAGCCCCCACAGGCCACCGGCAGGGCGGCCAGCGATTGTTACGACACTCACGTACGGTCACCCGGCAACCTCTTCGCCCGCCCGTCTTAGCGGGCGCAGCTGATTGGACGGTTCCCGCAGCCCGGCCCGCCCCCTCCGGCGTCGGCGAGGAGGATGCGCGCGGCTTGAGTCTGTCCGCCCGGGGTGCGGGAGCTGTCCCTGTCCCTCGTTTAATGCGAACGCGTTCCCCCCACCCCAGGACACGCACTGGGGTCTTTGCACTACGGGATGCGGCGATGCGGGCGTGTGCGGAGAATTCCAGGGCTCTCCGGGACCAACGGCGCCCTGGTCCCCAGCTGGATGGGGCGACGCGGAGGAAGCCGCAGGCGGGGGTCTCTGCGTCCAGTCCCTCAGTGCTGGGCTGGAGTCGGGGCTCCTCCGCTTTGGATCCAACGCCCCTGACTCAAGTCTTGGTCACCCACAGGGGAGACCCCATGGAGTTGGCTGTAGGGGGCATTTGCTAAGTAAACTAGCAAGGATGGAAGACGGGGTGTGTGTGTGTGTATGTACCTTTAAGTCAAATTTAAAAATGTAAATTTTGAATGTACTTTTTCTAAAAAGATATTTATTTATTTTACTTGAAGGTCAGAGTTACACAGAGAGAGGAGAGGCAGAGAGAGAGGTCTTCCATCCGTTGGTTCACTCCCCAGTTGGCCACAAGGGCCAGAGCTGAGCTGATCCTGAGCCAGGGGCTTCTTCCGGGTCTCCCGCGCAGGTGCAGGGGCCCAAGGACTTGGGCCATCTTCTACTGCTTTCCCAGGCCATAGCAGAGAGCTGGATCAGAAGTGGAGCAGCCAAGACTCGAACTCGCACCCATACGAGATGCCAGGACTACAGGCGGTAGCTTCATCCACCCCCACGCCTATACTCCTTGTCACTTGTCACACAGTATCTTCTCATCTCCTCCTCTCCAAACCCCAGGCGCTCACTAACCCATCTGCGGTGACATATTCCAGACTTCCATGGGAATGGCACTAGTTACTACACAGCCTTTCTGATTCACTGCACTGACCTGGCATAGTTGTTTCAAGGACCAGCCGTATAAACCACGTATCCATACTTCATTTGCTTCTATGGAGAATACTATGCCATTGTATGTATTTATTCACTCATTAATGCACATTTGGTTGGTTCCACTTTTCTGGGTATTTTGAATAATGTGCTGTTAAGATTCATGTACAATATTTTATGTGGACTCGTGTACAATTCTGCTGGACACTTACTTAGAACTGATGGGTGATGTGGTGATTCTCTGTTTAGTCCTTGGAGGAGCTGCAAGCCGTGCCATCTGACAGTCCCAACCAGCAGCATATGAGGGTTCCACTTCCCCCAGATCCTCACCAACACGTGGTTATTATCTCACTTTTTGATTCCAGTAATCCTAGTGGGTGTGAAGTTCTATTTCTTTGCGGTTTTAATGTCCATTTCATCAATACCTAATGACATATGGAGCGTTTTTATGTGTTTTTGTCCATCTGAATATCTGCCTTGGAAAAACCTCTGTTCAATTCTTTTACTCATTTTGAAATTAGATTATTAGGGACCACTGTTTTGGCATAGTGGGCTAAGCTTCTGCTTGGAACACCAGCAACCAGTATCACACCATCAGTTGAATCTTGACTTCCACTTCTGATCTAGCTCCCTGCTAACGTGTCTGGGAAGACAGCAGAATATGGCTCGAGACATTGGGTCCCTGGCACACGCATGGGAGACTTGGATGGAGTTTCTAGCTCCCTCCTTCCACCTGGCTCAGCCCTGGCTGTTCTAGCTATTTAGGGAGGGAACCAGCAGATGAAAGCTCTCTCTGTGTCTATCCCTACCCTGTCACTCTACCTTTCAAATAAATATTTCTAAAACAAAATAAAGGAGCCAGGGCTGTGGCACAGTGCTAGCATCCCATATGGGTGCCAGTTCAAGTCCTGGCTGCTCTACTTCCAATCCAGCTCCCTGCTGATATGCCTAGGAAAGCAGTCGAGAATGGCCAAGTGCTTGGGCCCCTGCCACCCACATGGGAGACCTGGAAGAGGTTCTGGGCTCCAGGCTTCGGCTTGGCCTGGCCATTATGGCTATTTGGGGACTGAACCAGCAGATGGAAGATTTCTGTCTCTCCCTTTCTCTGTGACTCTGCCTGTCAAATAAATAAGTAAACCTTTAAATAAAATCAAATAAAGTTAGGTTACTGAATTTCTGATTATTGAGTTGTAAGATTTCTTTAAATGTTCTCAATACAAGTCCTTATTAAAATATACGATTTGTAGATATTTTATTCCATTATGTAAGTTATGTTTTCATTTCTGTTTTTTACATTTAATTGTGGTAAAACACATGCCATAAAATTTTTATCAACTATTTTTTTAGATTATTATTTTTTTTAACTTTTATTTAATGAATATAAATTTCCAAAGTACGATTTATGGATTACAATGGCTTCCCCCACATACCGTCCCTCCCACCCACTACCCTCCCCTTTCCCACTCCCTCTCCCCTTCCATTCACATCAAGAATCATGCAGAAATTATCTTAATATACAGAAGATCAGCTTAGTATACATTAAGTAAGGATTTCAACAGTTTGTTCCCACACAGAAACATAAAGTGAAAAATAATAGATGATTTTTTTTAAATGATGATGAAATCAGATCAGACCTATTGTCATGTTTAATCCCAGTGAGAGTCAAGTTGGGAGTTGATAATTTTTTTTTTTTTTACAGAGGATCAGTTTAGTATACATTAAGTAAAGATTTCAACAGTTTGCACCCCCATAGAAACACAAAGTGAAATATATTGTTTGAGTACTCGTTATAGCATTAAATCTCAATACACAGCACATTAAGGACAGAGATCCTACATGAGGAGTAAGTGCACAGTGACTCCTGTTGTTGACTTTACCAATTGACACTCCTGTCTATGGCATCAGTAATCTCCCTATGCTCCAGTCATGAGTTTCCAAGGCTATGGAAGCCCTCTGAGTTCTCTGATTCTTATCTTGTTTAGACAAGGTCATAGTCAAAGTGGAGGTTCTCTCCTCCCTTCAGAGAAAGGTACCTCCTTCTTTGAAGACCTGTTCTTTCCACTGGGATCTCACTCGCAGAGATCTTTTGCCAGAGTGTCTTGGCTTTCCATGCCTGAAATACTCTCATGGGCTTTTCAGCCAGATCCGAATGCCTTTAGGGCTGATTCTGAGGCCAGAGTGCTATTTAGGACATCTGCCATTCTATGAGTCTGCTGAGTATCTCACTTCCCATGTTGGATCACTCTCCCCTTTATTTATTCCATCGGTTGGTGTTAGCAGGTACTAGACTTGTTTATGTGCTCCCTTTGACTCTTAGTCCTTTCATTATGATCAATTGTGAACTGAAATTGATCACTTGGAATAGTGAGATGGCATTGGTACATGCCACCCTGATGGGATTGGATTGGAATCCCCTGGTATGTTTCTAACTCTACCATTTGGGGCAAGTCAGCTTGAGCATGTCCCAAATTACACATCTCTTCCCTCTCTTATTCCCACTCTTATGTTTAACAGGGATCACATTTCAGTTAAATTTCAACACTTAAGAATAACTGTGTGATAATTACAGCATTAAACCAGTCATATTAAGTAGAACAGACAAAAATGGAGGAATCTGGAACACATCATGCTGAGTGAAATAAGCCAATCCCAAAGGGACAAATACCATATGTTCTCCCTGATTGGTGACAACTGACTGAACACCAAAAAGGAAACCTCCTGAAGTGAAATGGACACTATGGGAAATGGTGACTGGATCAGCATAGCCCTGACTGTTAATGAACAACTTAATACATTATCCCTCTTAGTAGTTTTTTTTGTCTGTTCTACTTAATATGACTGGTTTAATTCTGTAATTAATACACAGTTATTCTTAAGTGTTGAAAATTAACTGAAATGTGATCCCTGTTAAACATAAGAGTGGGAATAAGAGAGGGAAGAGATGTGTAATTTGGGACATGCTCAAGCTGACTTGCCCCAAATGGTAGAGTTAGAAACATACCAGGGGATTCCAATTCAATCCCATCAAGGTGGCATGTACCAATGCCATCTCACTAGTCCCAGTGATCAATTTCTATTGGCAGTTGATCATAATGAAAGGACTAAGAGTCAAAGGGAGCACATAAACAAGTCTAGTACCTGCTAATACTAACCGATAGAATAAATAAAGGGGAGAGTGATCCAACATGGGAAGTGAGATACTCAGCAGACTCATAGAATGGCAGATGTCCTAAATAGCACTCTGGCCTCAGAATCAGCCCTAAAGGCATTCGGATCTGGCTGAAAAGCCCATGAGAGTATTTCAGGCATGGAAAGCCAAGACACTCTGGCAAAAGATCTCTGCGAGTGAGATCCCAGTGGAAAGAACAGGTCTTCAAAGAAGGAGGTACCTTTCTCTGAAGGGAGGAGAGAACCTCCACTTTGACTATGACCTTGTCTAAACAAGATAAGAATCGGAGAACTCAGAGGGCTTCCATAGCCTTGGAAACTCATGACTGGAGCATAGGGAGATTACTGATGCCATAGACAGGAGTGTCAATTGGTAAAGTCAACAACAGGAGTCACTGTGCACTTACTCCTCATGTAGGATCTCTGTCCTTAATGTGCTGTGTATTGAGATTTAATGCTATAACGAGTACTCAAACAATATATTTCACTTTGTGTTTCTATGGGGGTGCAAACTGTTGAAATCTTTACTTAATGTATACTAAACTGATCCTCTGTAAAAAAAAAAAAAAAAAGAAAAAGAAATTATCAACTCCCAACTTGACTCTCACTGGGATTAAACATGACAATAGGTCTGATCTGATTTCATCATCATTTAAAAAAAAATCATCTATAAAAAATCATCTATTATTTTTCACTTTATGTTTCTGTGTGGGAACAAACTGTTGAAATCCTTACTTAATGTATACTAAGCTGATCGTCTGCATATTAAGATAATTGAAAATGAATCTTGATGTGAATGGAAGGGGAGAGGGAGTGGGAAAGGGGAGGGTAGTGGGTGGG